AAAGTGGGTGATAACAGTACACATTACCGGATCCAGATGACCCTAAATCGTGACGATAGTAATGAGGAAGGGGGAAACAAACGTTCAAATCTAAAGACGTTTTTTAAATTGTCTAAGTGAAACATTAAAATATAGAAAACATAAAAGTACTAATTTTCAACTGATTTCAAAATCTTTTTCATTTTTGTTTATATTTCTTCACACGCTCTTTAACAAGCAAAAAAGAATATTGTGTGTCTTTCTACACTAGCATATACCATGGTGTGAATATAATTCTCCGTGATATCGATCCTAAATTCCTAGTTCCAATTATTGAACTCAAAGTTACCCCTAAAGCTCTTCCTTGAAAAAGGGAAACAAACATGAAAGTAAGATTTTTTTTTAAATTCGGAAAAGTCACATCTTTATTCCATTTTTAATATCAGAACTATTTTTTCAGTAAATGCAGCAAAGATCTAACAACGATATCTAAATGCTCACAACTGAGAGAAAATTCTTTGAAAACAGGAGAAAGAAAAGTTGCACACAGGAAACCACCTCATCAATTCAAGTCTATTCAAATCCATGCATCGAGATGACTATATACATAAAATGATCTTGGGTAATATCGAGCTGTACACAAAATTAAATAATATTTATACTAATTCTTCCTTCAACATATCTTTCAAGCGACAAGGGAGCCTCCTGAAATTATACGGCTTATTTTATTTTTGTAACATCAGTATAATCACATCGTTTATCCCGTGAAAGGGAATGTACACGCAAATTTTATTTTTCAAATACATCGATAATCAAAATAAAATTGTACCAATGTCTATCATAAATGAAAAACACACAAAATATTCTTACACTTGTCCCTTCTCATATTCCATACACTTTGGCAAATGTAGCAAAGTTACAAAGCACACCAAGCAAAGTCATTCATCAGACATAATAAAATAATCAATGTTTCAAATATATGTCTTCAGTGCCATTCAAATCTTTCGATATTGCTAGTTAGCATGCAGAATTACCTACGATTTAAAGGCACGTACAGAGAAAATGTCTTAATAAAAAGCTTTCATTTAAGATGCAAAGGACAAACAAACAATTTGACACGATTCCGTTTTAAGCAATACCACATATTTCAAAGTAGTCTAATCTAAACAGAGTTCACCTGAAGAACATATTGCATTTACAATACGCAACTTAAACGAAATATAGCACCAACAAATGAATAAAACCCCACACACCCCTACAAACATCTTGACTTGAAGAGTTAGAGGGAGAGAGAAAATAGAGAAGATTCAGAAATGCATTCAGACAGAGAGGATTATGAGAGTGAGAGAGAGAGAGAGAGAGAGAGAGAGATAAAGAGAGAGGGGGAGAGAGAGAGACTTGAGAAAATGGCAAGACAGAAAGAAAGAGAAAATGAATTGAAAGTCATAACGAAGGTTGAAGTGTGCCATTAACACTAGAGTATTGTTCCTTTGGTTGTAATATATAGAAATATATAGGAGCAGTCTTAATAAGACGAAAGCAACTCTGATTATTGCAAATATTTCCCCCGTTTGCACTGTAATAAAATATATGGAGCTCCAAATGACAGGATTGATGTTTACAACTTCAACTTGTACTTTTCTAAAGATTTTTAAAGCAAATTGTTTTAACAAGAGCTGGCTTCACTGTCTTTATCAATACAGCAGTTTATTCTTTTTAATCTGAAGGATAGCTTACAAATTATCAGGACTTTTATAGTTCCATAAAATAGAAAACATCAAGAAAGCCCAAACACTGATGAATTGAAAAACACGAATTTTCATCAGCATTATTTACAAGTAAGTCTTGAAATCGGCTAAACATTCAAATAAATTCTTGTATTTTGTACCATCATCACTCTCTCCTATGCTCTCCTGGACATCCCTTTTGCATCAATAAAAATGATGAAGATCAAATGTCGTCAGCTTTGTTTCAAACATAATATCTTAACTGTAATCATTTACACACAAGAGAGATGAAACGAATATAGGACTTACTGACATTGTCGATTAAAAATTCGTCATAAAAATACACTCTCTAGCTTGTTTGGGCGCAGGTAAGATGTGTATAATCATTGAGAGCCTGGCATGGAAAGCAAAATAAACCAGAAAATAATCACAGAGTGAAAGAATTCTTCAACAAATTATACAACCGTCTTGTATCTGTGCGAACCACACTAAATGATCATAACTTTTCAAGACATATTTTGAAAAAAGATTTAGGCACAATTTAACTGATCATATTTTTCACTTTCAGGTTTCGCCTCCCCCGGTCATCTATAATTAACATCGCTCTATCACAGAATATACACTTATCCATTTTTTCTTTTGATTTTCTTTTGATGATACAGTAAGGATTTGTTTTAGGTAAAAGTTATTCATCTTTTAGATTATTCCCACAATATACACATGTTAGTCTTACAATTACTTTGAAGGCATATAGTTATCACACTATCCATATTAATAAAGAAAAACTGACGGTACAAAAACTAAACTTAAATCTAGCGTTTTACTTCCAATTATAATAGTTCAATTCATTCCGTATATAATATCACTTGTGTATCTTAATTGACATACACGTTCTATCAATTAGCTTGCTCGACATAACCTAGTCAGCATAAAGTAACAGAAGATTTACAAAAATATTCTCTTACTACAGATACAGGAACAAGATATTTTTTAGTTTTTTTTAAATTAAAACCACAATCGTGTCTTGCTTGAAATGAAAGTGTTGGCGACATATGAAAGAAAATACTGCCCTACATGAATATACATATGAACGTCTGCATTGAAAGAGATTATGAAAAAGCATGACAAATAAGTGACAGACAATGCCCGTATCTAGGTCTCTCAGAGTTCAGTATATCACTTTAAACTGCAACGCATGACGGATGAATGAAAGGAAAGACCTTGGCAAAGCATATAATGCCAAATATGAAGTGCAGGGTGCAAGTATAGATGGTTCTTGTGGAAACACGATAACGGTTGTCGGAGCGTAACCCGTGTTGTTTTTTGAAAGCCCTTTGAAAAGGCCCAAGGACGCTTTTGTTATAACACCACGTAACATATGCTATTCAAAAGCGGACTATATGGGTATTATTACTATTAATCAGTAATCATAACCTATACTAGACAATTAGATTATGAGATACCTTTGTGTCTATAGACCACAAACTGGCTTCATACCAGAGGGATTGGGTCACTTTGATGATTGTTACATCCATGGAAGAAGGGAGCAGGGGGCAGATTACGCACAATGTCCCCAAAGTCACTGTAATGAAACCTGACAAGTAGAATGAATCTTCCAATGGACATACCATCGGATATCATTCATCTATCTATCTATATCTTCAATGTTTTGCACTGTCACTATATTTGTAGCAACTTGTGATATTTCCGCATTTTGATTATTTCATTGAGGCTACTCGGCATGCTTAGTAACCAATGGTTGAAATGCAGAAAATTGGTATCAAAACACTCCCCTCGGGGATTTTCTACTTGTTACATAACGGATTCTGTTCTCTGGCCCTTTCATGGAGAAAATATCTTATTTTCCAACAGTGAACAAATTGGGATACAACTCCGAGAACCATTTGAATTTACAAGCAGACCTGTCTATTCCATTTCACATGACTGCAGTATCTATTTTATTATTTTCAATAGAGAACGGCATGACCTTATCCTAAATATAAAAAGTCCTAAAACTGTTAAAAGGATGAAATTTCCAATGACAGCACCAAACTTCGTTTTTAAAATTTACTTGATGTCATACTATCCGAATGATCTCGTTTGAGAAAATCTCAATAATGAGGATTTCTGAAAAGGCTATGCGTGCAACAAAAAATCAGTTACATTGCACTTCAGGAGGTCAAAGACCTCATCAGAACACGGCACAACGTTAAAAAGTATTTCCCTTTAAAATAGCATCATCTTAACATCTCAAACACTGATAAATATATATTCACACAAATGAGTACTCGTCATGGTTGATAAATCCTAAGAAGTCAAATCTTATGTTACATAAATCAATTGAATGTAGATGGTAGAGTTACCATTATGAGTCATCAGACTCTTCGCTACCATACGTCCTCAACGATACACTATCCAGCGTGTTGTTCTGTAGGATACGAGTCAGGTACTGAGTCCTGTAGTTAGCTAGCTTGGTAACAGGGAACGACCGGGACTGGGCCGAACCTGGTTTGTTGATACTCTTCACCCAGCTGTGCTCCAGACAGTCTGCCACAGTTGGCCGGTCACTGCAGAAAATAGAAATGGCATAAGGTATCATCAACCTTCTTCTCAAAACGTGTCAGATATGTGTTCTTATCGTTTTCTATGCATAACATCTAACGACAGACATCACACACTCTTAAATGATTTGTTGGGAGGTAAAGTATAGAAGGTACTGGACCTAGAAGGATCCAAGAACCACCTGGAAAGATAACATTAAGATCTGAAGTGGAATGACACTACAATAGTGCACTAGGATGGCAGAGAACAGATATGTGCGGAAACCTCTGAGCTAGGAGAAGATACCATGATAGATACGACATCCGGTATCTAGTATCAGATTGAGCATTTTACAAATCCTTGAAACTAAAACCCTTTCAAACAAAATTAGCATGCAATTGTAATAAAGGATAACCCAACAGTTTATACACTTCGTCTAGCTGCAAAAATGCCATTGCTGTGATATTTTAAAGAATATTCTTAGGGAGATGAACGCCACGGAAGCATTTCCACTTCACGAAATAAACCAATTCTAATCTCAGTTATGATTATTATAATTGTGAATAAACATAAACTGTGAATGATATTCATCATTATATTTCCAGGGACTGATTTGCTACACACACTCCTGGAAGGACATACTTACATTGGTTTTTCTTTGAAGATAGCTTGGAGGAAAGCCTTGGCTTCAGGACTCGCGTTCGGGTAGAGACTGGATATATTATATTTCATCCTGGTGATGTTGTAGATTGTCTTCTCTTGATTGCGACCCAAGAACGGTGATGTTCCACTCAGCCTAATCATACAAACACAAACAGACAATGAATACTTACAGTATATTTTAAGCAGGATGAAGGTTTAGGCAGTCCTCAATCACAACAGTACCGACAAGGAATATTGGAATTACACAGAATGGCACATTTTCTAGTCCTAAGTCATTAGGAAAAATTCTATCACGGGAGGCGATTGCCGAACTTGTACAGACCAATGGTATCCTACTTCATGTTTGTTTACAAAATTTGATAACAGGAACACTTACCATGTAAACACCATAACTCCTAATGGCCATATGTCTGTTTCATAGTCTATCGATCCTCCCTTGACAGCTAGCTCAGGAGCTAAGGAACAGAAGAAAAAAATTGTCAGTAATTAATGAATAAATCATCTCAATAATTATACATCAGTGATCAGGCGAAGTCGAACCGAAATGTGCGGGAGACATGAGGAAAAAAACCCATGAAATTTCAGGGCCAAAGGTTCAGGGGTTTTGATGCAGTGGCAACACGGGGGGGGGGGGGGGGAGGGGGGAGGGGGGGAGGGGGGCATTATGCCCCCCGGCCTTATTAGGGTTAATGAAGAAACAGGAAAGACGCCTGCACTTTACATCATGGCTATGTTAAGGCATTTTGAAAATATTGTTATCATTTTACTATTGATCGCTATTTTTAAAAATATAAAGACACAACTGCAAGCTTAAAAATATGATTATTGAATTATGCATTAACTATTTTCATTACTAACAAACATATACTGTTCGGCTACTTGATGAGAATGACAGAGAAATGTAAGTATGAAATATAGTATAACAAACAAAAACGAAAAGAATGTAATGGGAAAATGAAGATAAAGGAGAAAAAGAGAAAGGAAAAAGAGAAAGAACGGAGAAGCGTAGGAATTCAAATACGAAGAAGGAAAGACGAATAAAGGTAAAGAAAACGGAGATGGGTAAAAAGAATCCATCATTTCAGCAATGAATACTAACCCATGAATTCGGGTAGTACATCGATGCCCTTCGTCTTGCTTTCGCCATCTTTTTGGATGACCCTACATGACCCGAAGTCGATAAGACGAACGACGTCCTTCCTTCGGCTCTCCATGAGAAGGTTGTCGTGTCGGAGGTCGAGATAGACTACGTTCATCATGTGAAGATGTTCAAGTGCGTCTAAAACCTAAAAGGGAGATTATGGAGGGGATAATCATTAGAGGAAAAACGATTATTTGTTGTCATTATATTTAGGCCATTTGCCTGACATAGGAATACGTCAGCGACTGTCGTAATCTTTGATGCGTTATGTGAAGGTAAAATCGTATAAAAATAATTTTAAGTCTGTGCAACATGCTTTAACCGACACACTCATGCCCGTTTTACACCAAGCGTCATGTCTATTACGTCATCACCTATACCAATTACGCTTTGGAAGGCAATGTAATGATTGTTTTTTGTCACTTTCTGCAACATAACACTCTCACCTGCCTCGTCAAGGACCTCAGTTAGTCGGTTACGAGTCCTAACGTCAGACGAATGACTCCCCGTGTGCAACAGGTCTAATTCGATTAATTATTCTTCCAACTTACCTGAGCAACTATTCTGACCACTGTAGACTCGGTGTAGGTATCTTCCTTGGTCAGATACTTGAGTACTGTGCCTCCATAGTAGCGCTCTGTGACCAGCATGACGTGTCTGTTTGTCAGGAAGGCTTCTCGTAGCTGCAGGATGTGTGGATGAGAGAGCTCTTTTAGAAGCTCATACTCAGCCAGACATTTATCTTGTGTCTTCTTGGTGTGTGCTAGGATCTTGACCGCATATTCCTTGCAGGTCGCCACCTTCCTGCATCTCATTACCACCGAGTATCTTCCTCTGTAATAAGTCAATGATAATTGTGTATAAATATTATTCAAATTAACTATCGTGTCCTAGAGGTTATCAAAATAACACCATGAGATATGAAATGTGACAAATACATTTGAAAATCCAAAATACATTATAATAAACAAATCCATATCATCTGTACGCATAACATTTGCTTACATTTTGTTCTACAAAACATTGCTCCCGAAACGATTGATCATCGGATCCACCCATTATAGCCCTAACGGTATTTTTTTCCACAAAAGCAAGCCTGTTGCAACCGTTACCGAAGCAAAATGTCAGATCAGCTTCTTTTCATGAAACTTTAAGCAATGAAATTATTATCTTACTTGTTTGATTGAATATGACAGCGTGCAGTTTCATTGTTTACGTGATTCATGAAATAAAATAAACATCTCGCTATAGTACGAATAAACCCATTACAAAAAAAAAAAAAACTCCTTTATCAATGTGCTTGGTGACATTCATAGCTTGATTTAGTTTAGGAAAGACCCGAGGAGTACCAAGGCATTCGGCATAGTAAAAGGATTTGTAACCACATCAGTTTGCTTGACAAAGCCATAAGTAACCTCTAACCTTCCAATTTCTTCCTGCATCTCATAGATCTTTTGAGGCATCACCGATGTTTTAAGAGATAGATCCAGTGGCCCGAGATCCTCGTCATCGATGAGCTCGGACAGGACCTCATCACGTGAGTTATGTCTTTCTCTCGACAACGATCTCGTTCTTGAATGCTGTAGCTTCGTGATGGATTCCATGTTCAAAGCATGCGCTCCTGTAGGGAAAAGGTGAATGAGATGGGGAGTTCTTCGCGATAATACGATTGTAATTTTAGCCACTGAATGTCAATAATAGTTGTTATTTGATATCTAGAAATCTATTTACCCCTTTCATACGTGGAGTCACAATCGTTTTTAGTAGAGATTTATAAGTTATTAGAAAGTGTCATCATGATAAAGATGATTCACTAAAGAAAGTACCACTAGTCTTCATCACTCTTAAATGCATTCGCAGAGAGCGATTACTCACAGACTCCGTTTAAAAGATTCAGTATTCATTTGCTTTATCTTTGAAATTTCATTATCACCATCATTTCTATCAAACAAGTTTAAAATGTAAACATAATAACCAATTCCTTTCCTTCTCGTTGTCCTACATTGTCCAAATATTTCTAACTTGTCTATTACTCTCTCCTATATAGTTCCGTCTCTGTACATGATTTTACCAGCAGTTATTATCCTAAAACTTTTGTGAAGAAAGGATTACTGTGCAAGTTTTGATCACATTTATCAGGTTAAAGGCCCAAACATAAATATAACCCCTACTGCGTTTGAAATTTGACCGCACGGTATACCTTCTGGTAGTGTTTTGAATTGCACAGAAGACTTGCTGAAGGGACCGCATCCATGAGGGGTTCGGCAAGCCACTCGGAAACGATACTCATTTTCAGGGGTCAGCGACTTTACGTGAAAGTTACAGTCTTTGATTACATCAGATACTTCAAGCCATTGCTTGTCACCTGAGAGAGGGAGTGAGAGATAAAGAGATAGAGGGAGAGAGAGAGAGACAGAGAGAGGGAGAGAGATAGGGAGAGAGGGAGAGAGAGAGAGAGAGAGAGAGAAAGAAAGAGATGGCGGGAAGGAATATTTCACTGTCATCACAAGTTCATAGATCAAAATGCTGTTAACACAAACTTAAACATTAGGAAATGATATGTGGTATATCTTCTCCGTTATTATTCGATGATAAAAACAAAATATATAATGAAAACAAATTATGTACTACATGAAATGGTTTTTAGTATAAAGAATACTAGAACAATTTACAGAATTACAATATACAGACGGAGCATGTTACTGTTCACTCTGGGAAAGGAATACATCCGTAACAATCCTGTGGAATCAATAAAAACTTCATGACATTGAGAAGAAAAAGGATGCCTCCCAGAACTTACCTGCTTTCCTGCATTGTAGTAGATATCCTTCTAAATCATCTTTCTTGGGTGGATGGTTCATTTTCCAGGAGACGAAAGCTTCGTGGGCCGACACCAGTGGGATTTTAGGACGAGATGGAGCCTCCGGTACGGCTAAGAAAGCAGACATTGATTACAAATTAGATACATTTTAATTTTGGCAAGAAAAAAAGAAAGTCTCTTTGTTGATGATGTTGGTTAATATTCAGTAGTTTTTCTTCAGACCTGCTATAAAACGATATTTTGTTTATGTTTTAATAATATTTGTTCTGCAACGTGATAAAGAATGCAAATAAAGGACATATTATAACCATATATATACATATTATTATATACATATACGTATATTAATTAGTCAAATTAAAGGTATTACGAAGTTTTGGCATGGGGTCATGAATTCGGTTCAAATGAACATATTGGAAACATATGCGATCCTACAATATTGAGTGATCATTGTCGCGGTTAAATTGTAAATAATAAACTCTTTTCATTGTATAGCTCACTCTCAAGGTCAAGATATTAATTTAGATATAAAACAATGTTTCTTGACTAAAATCGACCGATTGACTATTCCCATTTGGAAATTATATATCACAACTACATATTGTGAGATTTTCATGGTCGCAGCTACCATTGTATAGCTATTTGAAAATTATCGAAATTTACCAGGAGCACCGGTAAATTTCGATATTCAGTTTTCTTGAAAGCAGAAGTATTTTAGGGGCTAATTTTTTAGTGCTTACAATACATCCACAGAGGCATCAAAATATTCCAAAATTGTAAAGCCTCTTTATCCAGCCAATTTTCAAAATTTCCCCAAAAATTTGTAATACCTAGACGTAATATTTAAAAGTAAATAACATGATAATCGAATCAAATACAATACAATTTATTAAGCCATGTGAACATAAATGAAAACCCATTATATTAAAATGATATATTACTCCATAAATCGGATTTACGACCCTTGATTGTCATCCCACGCTTGTACTTAAAGTGTAAATCAATATCAATTTTTACGTCGAAAGAAGAAGCTGGCAATAAATATAAGCTGAAATCTCTAAAATCTTTACTTCAGTAAAAAGTACACAAACCCGTATCTAGGCGATTAACATGTGAACGACATTTACATGTACTATCATCTCTTACCCCCCTCAGACAACAATTCTATTCAAATAATTTGGGACACCTACTTTTGAAAAAATAATAATATCTAAATTTTCCATCGTATTTGATACTAGTATTGGTCTCGGAATGATTTTCACACTCGGTTTCCTACAATCTACAAAATCATAACTATACATTGCATTTCTCAATTCTGCAAATAAAAACGGAGGCGAGTATTCAACATCGGTATTCATTCAGAAAAACGCAGTTCAATCATTATTAGCGTGTTAATTTGTTTTAAGCTCTTTTGAAATAAAAAATAGAACAATTCTGAAGTGTATATACATAAATACATTATTTCTTTTAGTTCAGCACCAGCGAATGAACGGCAATTTTACAGAACTGTGTTATGTATAAATCATAACATCACATCACTGTAAAATATAGTGAAAAGATCACACTGCACATACGGATAGAAGAGACTCGACTCCCAGGTAAACGGGAAGACATAGATACATAAAGTAACAAGGAGATCGATATTAGTTGGATTAAGATTTTATAGTTCACGGATTATTTACTCCTCTTCAAAAGAGCAACCACATTAGTATCATGCAGTGCGTAGTGTTGCTACAATTTACAAAATCTCAAGAAAACTATATATTCATATTTCAGAATATTGAAGTGAATGTATTCATTAATTAGTGGTCAACATGGTGACTAGAAAGAATACAATATGAACATAGGGTCGATTTGTAACACAGTTAATGTCTTTGCAATGTGAACAAGCCCAGTGCCGTGTTCACAGTGCAGCAAGTAATGCCGTCACATTGTTATACCTCGGTCACACCGCTAAGCCGACTCCAAACCGAATTCAAGCCGAAGTTCTAAGCCTTTCGGAGGGGTAATGGTAAGTTATGTTCAGTTTGCTGTCGGTATGGTGTTGGTGTAGTATGGTGTGGCCAGGCGCAGATCCAGGATTCCTTAGGGGGGGGGGGCCAAAATTTGAAAATCGTGCCGGCCGATATTACGCTCAGTAGGGGGGGGGGGGTAGTGAGCACTATTTTTTAAATTTTTATTTTGACCCCGAACATTTGAAAATCGCGCCGGACGAAAGTGAGCGCATTTTAATTTTTTTTTTAAACACCACCCACCCCTCCCCCAACCCCTTGAGCACAAAAAGGAAAGGGCAATTTTCTGGTCACCAATTTTTTGTATTTGTTTAAATATTTGTTTTCCCGTCTTTTTTTATTTTGGGCCAGGGGGGGGGGGGCAAGGCCCGCTCGGCCCCCTCCCCCTGGATCCGCGCCTGGGTGTGGCTGGGGCATATAACAGTACTTACCAGCTACCGTGAGATTAGCAACAGACTCGGCTGTCCCTGCTTTGTTAGTAGCAACACACTTATACTGCCCTCCATCTCTCTTGCCAATCTTAGGTATGGTGAGAAAAGCCTTGCCCTTCTCCAGTCCAATCTGAACGCCTCGGCTACCTCCAGAAGCCTTGGTCAGTTTGGTGTTAGCATGGTACCAGGTCATCGTGGGCTTGGGATGGGCGTTCACCTTACAGGTCAACTTCAGCTGACTCATCTCCATGATGATCTGGTCTTTGAGCTCGAGTTCGAACACGGGAGCTTGATCCACGACGACTGAAGTATGGGATGGGGACGAGTTTAGGTGGTGCAATAAGGATGGTTGGTGAGGTTTACGAAAACGGAAAGGATTGGGCATCGGGGTGAGGAGTGGTTAAGTGTAATTGAAAAATAGAGGGGTGGTTTTGAGAGAGAGGGGAAGAGTAGTTTTAAGTCGACATTAAAAGTACAACATAAGAAAGAGGAAGACAAATAGACAACCCCATAACAAGAAACAAATAATTATATCAATCAAATTTTAAAATGAAATAAGATAAAAAGACGATTCACGAGAGAGGCAAAATGAGAGGGACCATTGATCAATATTCAAATTAAGGAATATTTAACTGCTTAAATAATCTAAGGTGACGATCCCATTTTTTAGTTTAGTATATAATTAGGTTCTCGTGAGTGGATACTACCATCAGGCTTTCTCTTTATGAATCATATAGTATAACATTATCCTACTGCCTAGCTGGCTTTATAGAAAGTATGTTATGTGTCCTGTTCCTCGAATTTGGATATAAGTCAGTTTAAAAGGAGCCCTTAAATATGATAGGCTATGAACCAAATATATGTACATTGAATTAATGTTTGGGCACTTATGCACGATTCCTCTATTTCAAAATTGCTGTGAAACATTCAAGCTAATGTTTAAACAATGTCCAGGGTATACATACAAATAAATACCGGCATTATCTAGTGAAAACGTTTTATATACAAATCTGAGTATAACTCATGAGACTATGACGAAATTGTGATCAATTTACATTTCATGGGTGGAAAATTTATAGTTTTATTAGTTAGTCTTTTAATTCTGGTGTACTATTCTACAAACATACTACACATAAATGGAATATTATTTTATCTGTACTTCGTTATGAACTATTACAAGAGGATCATGCGTTGATTCATTCGCTTTGAGGGTTTTGGGGGAATTTATCTAATGGATCACTGAATGGCTTTAAATTATGTTGCAGCATGAGAATGTAGTGACTAGAACAAACAACAACTGAAGAAAGAAACTGGAATTGAGAGGAGAGCTTGAGAGAGGTATCAGGTGGTGTGGACTCAGATGGGATTTGTGCAGACAAAAGAGTTTGGGGGAGGGGGAGGGGGAGGGGTCATAATGCTTGACACAAATAAGTACACCGAGTGAAACATGCTTGAGTGATAATATGGTATTATGTAATGTTCAATCCTCAATATCTCAGTCATACATTTCAGCATGTTGTCATAAGGACTAAAAAAATGGCAAAATATCTATTCTCACTTGCTATGAAAATGATGATACACCTCATGTAGCACCTTAGCATGAAACTGTGATTGTCATTATAATTATAAACTTTCACTATGGCTCCGAAAATTCACATCACACTTTATTCTTTGATTCTGAAATAAATATATATTATAAATATCATTTACAATTCCTTCAAATTTCCCAAAATAGTCAATCATGCATATTCATAAACCAAAGACCAATTGCACTTCCATTTAATATAGAAACTCATCTTAAATCTGAAGGAGCTTAAAAAGTAACTGTTAATGTTGCATACAAACAAATTATGAAAGATTAGGTTTAATTATATTACAAACACTGTATTTAAAACAAAATTTCAATCACACTTTGGTAAAACGTGAAGTAGATTTCTTGTTCTACACAATGGAGACTTTACAAAACTATTATTAAAAGATTTATTCACACAAATATGATATACTAAATATTTTCTTTTGAATTTTATTATTTAAAAAAAAATTAAACATTGTGAGATAAGTAAGGCTTCATTATCGCTAGAGGTACCATAACTCTCAATATTCAATCTAAGAGAGATTATATATCTACATATAATTCAAACTTATTCTTCTTTTGCAACTCCAATCGACAGAAAATGCTTAAGAATGTAATTTAACTTGAAATAGATGTTTGAGAAAATACCTAAGCCATGAGAGACAAACAAAAAATTGGACCAAATCCATGACCCACACTAACAGTGAATCATAAATAATTGCCCCTATGTAAATCATAACATAAAGGCAATTTGATATCATGCAGAATGTCTGTAAATTATATGTAAAACATTTCCTAGTTGCTCTTGAGACATATTTACTGAATAATAGAGTATATCAGAACTCTTCCTATGACTTGACAATTATTATTTATCCCCTCGGAAAGTTCCTGTTGAAATTATCTTTGGATACATAGTTTATTCTTCACTTGAAATATATAGCGTATTCGTCTGTATAAAACAACTGGCACTAAAGAGGGCCACTCAGCTAAAAAATCAACCTCCCAAATTGCACCATGACTCTTTGGGTAAATGTTTAAGGATTATGAAGAAATAAATTATTAAAAAACAACACCACTTGTTTGTATTAATGTGTGTTCGAGTTGTCTTCCCATGACACTTTTTTACCTTGACTTAAAGAATATCTAAACATTCATTTTCTTTTCTTTTTTTCTACACAAGTACAAGTAATTATTAAAGCTGAAATCGTTAGTAAAGTTTATGCTGGCAAGGACCAATAATTCAGAGCAGAATATTTTTGATGATCAGTGCCCTAACATTTGATGCTGTAATTGATGAAAAATTTATTTCTGCACTTTGTCATTTATCATTTCTTTGACAATTGGTGTATGAATAGTTATAAATACACCTTCAGGTATTTTAAATGTTGATTTGTAAGGTTAAGCAGAAAAATGGCCAAAGAACCCATAATTATAATTCAAAAAGCATTTTCAATTTCAACATTCAAATACACCATTTAAAAAAAATCAGCTCTAATATGTCAAATGATACTTGGGTGACTTTAATTTAAAAAAAAATAATTTAAATGTGATAATAAAAAGTTACCTGAAATTAAAACTTCTACCATTATCAGAATTCCTTAAAAAGAACATCACAGCTTTTGTATGAACTATTAACAAAAAAAGTCAATACTTAGAAACTCATTTGATATAAAAGATGCCTCCATGATATTCCCCTTCCCCTTTTTACAAATTCTGAAATAATAGTTCACTATATGAAAGAAATAAAAATTTCTTTACAAAATAACAAAATAAGCACATGTGACATTTCATTAGGGTCTCTGCATATTTGAGCACCTGTTTTTATATAATACAACAAAAATGTATAAACAAATCCAAAATACTCAGGAAAGCAGGAGGGTAATATTAACCTAAGCAATCTCTCTCTCTTTCTGTGCTTTGTATAAGAAAATGTTAAAATGGACTTGCACAAACCATTAAAGTGGGATTAACTTGTTTTTTATAGGAACTACTTCATATGCCTTGACCGAAACACATAAAACCATATATAACATTGCAATACATAGTATAAACAAAAAAAAGGTGGTAATAGCAGCGCTCAAGCATACACACCATATTGGTGGATAGTTCATGAAACTTAAACCTTTGTATGCCATTAATAATATTTGTAAAAACTTTGCTGGCAAGCTCTTTGTAAACAGGTCTAACTCCTTATGCATTCAAACATTCCAAATCTGTATATGGGCATCATCTATGACTGTCAGCTCCTACTGATATAGTCTGTAATTACTAGCATGATCCTAATAAACACAGCAATCGCTATACCTACGATAAGCCCTCCAACAAAACGACATCTACGATCAAACCAAAGCAAGGCTATTCGCTCATACAAAGTCAGATGCAGTGTTTGATCATCTAGGCAGTGCAAGAAACCTAAATCCTCCTCTATTTCGCTGCTCGAGACTTTTCGAAGACCTATTAGACTGAAGCGTTGCGGACCCGCTCCTGCTTTACGGAGACTCTCCTTCCTTTGTGGATCCATAGTCGGGGATCCATAAGTCTTCGATGAAGACACCTTTGCTGGTGATCTAGCCGCATTGGAATCGTTCTGCTTTTTATCTGAACCAATCTTCATCATCATTTCCGATACAGAAAGCATCTTGGGACCCTGGGAGTCCACCTCAGTGTTCACAAATGCGTTTGCAGGAACTGCTTGATCTCCAAAGTGGAACGCAAATCCTGAGCGCCTTCTTGGCATGGAGCTTCGTCTAGCAGCCATGATGTCTAGATCCTGTGACAGGGGTTGCATTGGCTCCGATTTGGCAATATCTGCATCATCCATGGATTCAGAGGACAGTTGAGACAGGTTCCTCAAACGATAAGGTGTACAGGGACTTGATACCAGCGAGGAGGTATCACTTCCAGATCGCGTAAACACTTCTTCAGTCAAATCTTTTTCTATTTCCCAGTCATTATTAACTTGCTCAGCACTACCACTGCCTTCTGTTTTCTCAGTGATACAACGCAAATTTGTGGCAAAGTTTAATACCTTTGAGGGCCGAGACATGGGTTGGTAGGGACGATGTGATGTAACTCCATTGTTATTCTCACTGTCTTTGTGAGGCAGTGATTCGTAGATGTCTGCCATGTTTTCACTACCATTCGATTTCTTCCTCTCCATTGTGATATCAATCATACTTTTATATTTATACCACTACTGCAAAATTACTTGATGGTTCAATGACATTTCACAAGTTCACACATGAGCTTCTCTAGTAAAAGTAATTTCACTCCTATAGTTCTACCGTAGTCCTGAACAGAGAGTCATCAAACATTTTATAATCCATTGGCAAATAAGATGAGGCACATTTAATCCTCTGTGCACAAACACGCTTATGAATGAAAAAATATCATTATAGATAAATCCATATAATTCCTTTAATTCCACAAATTGAAGGCACTGTCTCTTCCAAGCGATGACTGCTCACCGATATAGAATATTGGTTCATTCATTCATACGATTCCTTTTGCAGCATTGAACAGCACTTTCACCACAGCAATATAGATTGAAATCCCTTCTTGATATAACACATTGCTTGTACTGGAAAGCACAAACTATATCCTTCACAGCTTTTTTTTCTCCATACAGTCAATGGAGGGCTAACCCGAGACCATAAATTGCTACAAAAGTGTCTATTTAGATCATGTTACCATCAATCACCAGACTTAAATTCTAGAACAGTTCCACAGGGATCAGAGTTGTGAACAATGATTGAGATACTTTCCCAGGTAACCTATTGACAGGCTTGGCAATATTAAATTCCCCGAACAGCTGGTCCAAGTACACACATGGGAGCAGATTCAAGTGCACCGTAAACCTGAATTCAAATAGTGGTTGTTTTCATTGCAGATCAAACAGATTTGGTTTCAGGCACTTGGCTTAGATATTCAAATAAAAAAAGTTCCTTCTCAATAGAGCTTTTCAATCGTACTCAACTCTTGACAAAAGGACAATTAGGTATTGTAAAAATACTTGGCTCATATGACTTGAGCAACTACAGTACCTGTCTAATAAAACATGATTTATTATATGACTCTTAACAATATTTCAAATTGATTGTCTGAATGTATTCATTCTCCACACATGGTGATATTGACTTTGATAATAAGAGTAATGAAAGTCACTTTGACAGTTAGTATGCAAGGAGATTTCAAAATTCTTGTGAGCAAGAAAAGTAATACAGGTTTGAAGCCAGTAAAACATGCAGCGATTTCTCTCTCTCTCTCTCTAAAGTCTCATGCGTTTACTGGTAAATATTTCATCCAATACATCAGAAATTTATAGGTATATATAAAATTTCATATATATTCTGAATGAAGACACTTTAAATGCATGTGTTTGTTATGCTGCTTCTTCTTGTTGAGCAGTGTTAGCTTGAAAACAGTCAAACACAAGAGTTATAGGCACAATAGCTAGGTAGATATATGTCACTGTGACGGTGTGCAACATTCCGAATGTCATGCTAAATATGGCAGATGAAAACAAAAATGCCTTCTGATTTAATGTCGATGTGTGTTCCATGCACCACTCCTTCTACCTGTCTCGCTCCCTGCTCCGCCGACCGCTCCCTCTTCGTTGATGCTCTCTACGATGGTCTCGCAGCTCGTCGGGGATAACAGGTTGCCGTACTTGGTAGTGTTGTTCTCGCTGAAGACGTCGCTGCCGGTGGATGATGCGGTATCCGGGGTAACGGGAGACGAGGATGGTGACGCTTGCTCGCCAGCGGTGTGTTCTAAGGCTGCTTTCCTCAGGTTACTACCAAGACTGGAGAGGCGACGAAGTCTCATCGCTGATTTCACTGCTGTCAAGGCTTTCTGTGAAAGAAATAAAACCAAGGAGTAGATTATATTCTCATTTATCACACTTTGGATATAGTATATCATTATTAAAAACTAACAAACATCAACAAAAATTCTTTTCATTATTTATTCTCAGCAATATCCTTGATGACTGAAATAATGAGTCTTACAGATACATAGATATGTAGGCACATTGAGGGAGTTAGAACGATCGTTCATGAATATCTCCATGTATTAATTAAGCAAAAATTAGGAGCACAGATTCTCAATATAGCATCTGATATTTTTACAACTTACATGAGCACTCTAAAGCCATTTAGTTAAATTACAAGTATTCATAACAAATTTGTCACACATATAATCCCAATAAAAATGGTTACAAACCAAGTGATATATTTCACTAAATGATGACAGCTTTCTGAGAAAAGAGGTAAAAAAGTTTAGGTCGACTATTTTCCCCTCATACCTACATCTAAGTCACACCACCAGATCAAGTCCAAACCAAGTGAATCATGACCATTCAACATAATGTAATGGTATGTTTGACCTTTTGTTGGTTTGGTGTCATTCACTTTGGTGTGACTGAGGCATTGCAGGACCACTACCAAACACTAACATACAAGTCTATTGAGTATCTCTCACCCTCCACTTCCTCCTAGAATTGAATGTCCTCAATCTGTCCAAGCTGATCTTAGCACCCAGGTCCTGACGCTCATCAAACTACAACACAGAGAAGCAATGACAGAGAGAAAGACATTGAAGGAAAGTTGGTGATACAAGAGGTATAGATATATAGAGATAGATAGATAGATAGACAGACAGACAGACAGATAGTTAGATAAAAAAAATATAGATATAAAAATACAAAAATAGGTAGATAGATATATTAATTGATTGATTGTTTGGTTGATTGGTTGATTGATTGATTGTTTGGTTGGTTGATTGTTTGGTTGATTGATTGATTGTTTGGTTGATTGATTGTTTGGTTGATTGATTGATTGTTTGGTTGATTGATTGATTGTTTGGTTGATTGATTGATTGTTTGGTTGATTGATTGATTGTTTGGTTGATTGATTGTTTGGTTGATTGATTGATTGTTTGGTTGATTGATTGTTTGGTTGATTGATTGATTGTTTGGTTGATTGATTGATTGTTTGGTTGATTGATTGTTTGGTTGATTGATTGATTGTTTGGTCGATTGATTGTTTGGTTGACTGATTGATTGTTTGGTTGATTGATTGATTGTTTGGTTGATTGATTGATGATTGATTGTTCATTAATGAAACAAACATCACTGTGCCAAAGCCACATTGTGATGCATTCACTTTTTCATATAAGAAATTTGAATATCACTTACAAAAATAAGCAAAATAATAAAAATTTAACAATACCATATATATATACTTTGTTTTTCCCCACAAACTAGGATGACTTGTTCTAATCTATATTCTAGATAAGCTTAAGCATATAGTCTGAATAGAATGACAGACATAAAACATTAACATATATGATTACCAGTAAAGATTGATGGGACCAGGAAGTTTGTGTATTTTTGTATACCATACTTTCAAATGATTGATGCCTTTTCCTATAAACGCTACACAGACATGGGCTATAGGTGTTGGATATAGTTAAAGGTAAAGACCAGTATTGGAAACGCCCCAATTTCAAAAAATGAAATGGAAGCTCTAATTATCAATCATGTGAAAGAATATGTTTTGACTAATCCATCATGATAAAAAATTTGCCGGGAAACCGCCTACTAATTGATATATTTGATAAATTAGTTTATCTATTGGTGTGTGAGAGATAAACACACGTGTCGCGCACGTGTGCGTATAGTCCCATATACATCTTTCTGTGTACAGTGCTTGTAACTTTACGAAGACTGGGCCAAGTTTCTTATCATTTTGATGATTCCAGAACCTTGCAGTACACACCAATACTTATATGCTAGATGATCAACCTTTTCTGATCGATTCCACAACGTTTCTTTCACAATGCAATCACATGATCATAACTGGTCTTTACCTTTAATAATGGAAGGTGCACATATAAGTTTGTAGAGCCAGAAGGGTGTTAAATTAAATGAATTGAGTTTATGGCTATCAGGGGATAATGTATTTTTACACTGGCAGATTTAAGGGGGACATTTACCCCCCCCCCCCATCTTGAAAACCCAAATAGGCCTACTAAACCCCAATTTTTGACCAAAAGACATATTAAATAGTGTGACACCTTGGGGGGGGGGGGAGGGCAAAATTATGTGATTACTTATTGGCATGTCTTATATTGTTAAGAACTATGCGCCCCTTCCCCCCCCCCCCCCCCCCCTTCCCAAAAAATTAAGTCATTAAACTTCCCCTGATTATTACGTAGTATTTTTATACCTTCAACCATGGATGCTCTGATACTTCTTTTAGTCCTGGCCTCTTACTGTTGATGGAAAGAACCAAAAAAGAATAGAAAAACATGATCAAATTAGGTTAATGTATATGTATTTTTGAAAACACAAAGAATGACACAGTACTGTAAGTTTACAAATATGACACTACAGTAATAAAAACCAATATTGAAAGTGATGAAGTAGTTTTAACAAATACCAAAGTTGAAATTGAGATTAGCTGGATTTCACCTATACATGCATTTGTGGAATTGCTTAGCTTTAAGCATTCACTGTGTTTATGTTTACACTTTCCTTTACTAGAAGCAAGTAAAGAGGAGTTGAGTTGAGATGACTTAAGTCAGTATGGAGTCTGCCTGTAGAACCAAAGATTCTGGGTTCAAATCCAGCCCAGGCGAATGACTCGCATAATGTCATCATCCCCTGTTTCATAGATGCAGGCTAGGTTCGGTCCCTCTCTGTCCCTAGGATAGGATGAAAGGTAGGAACTCACTGCACACTCTGAGAAAGAGAAGGGGTACTAGCTGATCCATCTGCCTATATAAAAAATGTTGTTCACTCTTCCTTTTCTAGGCATAAGTAAAGCCAAATCCATATTCATTTCATTAATTAATTTAATCTATGATCATGATAATAATATTCATAAACACCATAGCACATGGTTTAGCAGTATACTCACTCTGCATTCATTTCAAACAAGAGCCAGATAAAATCCTGAGCTTCATCTGAGATGTCATCCCAAACCTCATCATCAAAGTCCCACTGACCACCTCGGACATTGAGAAGGGTCTGACGGTCATCTTCACCAGCAAACGGAGATATACCACTTAGTCTGGGATGATAATATAAGAGAGAGAGAGAGAGAGAGAGAGAGAGAGATCATTTGAGCAGTTGAAATGAAGCTTGAGCATGATCACAATGATAAATGTTGATTAAAACTGAAAACCTGACCTACAATGAAACACTCCTGATCCAAGGGGTATTGCTATAATATTCATGATTACTCATGAACATATACCAGCAGAATTAAAATAGAGCTTGATAATGTAATCTAATAACTCTTTTTTCAATCATGAGGGAAATCTTTCATATTCAATATGTAATATTATCATATAAACAGGTTAGATTAACTTGATGGGAGGCAGAGAAAGGAGGAAAATCAAAGGGATATGGAAAATAACACAAAATAAACTTATAATTATGCGAGTTCAAATTTGAGAGAGAGAGAGGGGGGGTGGAATATTTGAAATAATAGAATGACAGAGATAAAGAGAAAGACATGTTGACAGTGTGGGCTGTGAAAATAAGAGGGAGAGAGGGAGAGAGAAACAAAGAAAGAGAAAGAGAGGGAGAGGGAGGGAGAGAGAGAGGGGGGAGAGGGAGAGAGAAAGATAGAGAGAGAAAGAGAGATAAAGAGAGAAAGAGAGAGAGAGAGAGAGAATGAGAGTATAACTGTTTTAACTAATAATAAAGAGAACTAAAGCTGTCATGCAATAGAAAATAAGAACTAAACAATAACAAGAGTTCCTATGCACATGTACACTTACAGAATAAATGCAATGACACCAACGCCCCATACATCTGCTCCAGTGGATACAGGTTGCTTGTTGACGACCTCAGGAGCCACAAACTCTGGGGTACCAAACTTACATGTGATATCCTCTCCTTCCTTCAACACAGCTGCTAGACCAAAATCAATCAGTTTGATGTCATCAGACTCTGGGGCCACCAAGAGAATGTTCTCAGGCTGGTGGTAAAATAACAGGAAGAATAATGTAAAGTATTAAATTTACAGGAAAATCTCAATTTTACACATTTTTATGTTATTCAGTATTTTAAATTTTTAGTACCGAGCAATTGTTCCTACTATGTATTATTATTATATATTGTAACCAAATTTTATTATCTGTAAACAGTTATTTTACATGGTGAATAAAACAAACAAACAAACAAACAAATATACGTGGAGCAATATACATGCATTTCAGTTCAAATTTCCTATTCAGTATTAGCCTGATAATATTGGTATCACCGAGGAGACTTTCATTTTAAAACCTGATAAACCAAATTTGTGTGAGATGTTCATCACCATACAGTGCTCCATACAATAAATTTTGCAGTTTTTACATTTCAGGAAGAAATACTAGACTATTCTTAATCTGGGCATAACAGTAAATGTCTAGTTTTGATGCAAATGTAATCATGAAAAGTTTAAGCACGAAAATGCAGATTAATTAATTTGATTGACTGTGAGAAAATTGTGTGATATAGAAGTTTGGCAGTGGAAATTCATAAGAGAGACCTGGGGGGTGTTTCACAAAGACTAAAATCGAAAGATTTTATGCATGGCTGATTGTCAACAAAACAGAGTTAAGTCGTTTGTCAACTCTGTTTGTTGCTACGGCAGGCATCCAGTGGAGACAAATTTGTTTAATAAAATTATGCAAATGCAAGCATTACTTAAACAAACAGAACTTTGTTGTTCCTGGCTCATTTTTTCTGATTGAGGTGTCATATGAGAGAGCAGAAAATGAACTTTCTAGAAATGTGATTTTCTCTTTGAAATTCAGATACCATCCGCCAAATGACTTTTTGGTACCCTTTCTTCAAATTGATTTTAATCACTCATGTGTGAAATATGCATCATATGAGTTGCATCAAATGAAGAGTAGGATCTACGCATTACAAACATGTTTCATTTATTAATTATAATTGTGATTAAGTTATGATAAAAAATTGACAATTCTCGGTTTTGTTTTTTCTGGGACGCACTGTATACTATGGTAGGCGATTTATGCCCTTAAAAAGTTTTGAAACAAATGTAGAATTAGAGGGAAAAATCCTTAGAAATTATGATCTTCAGATATTTTTTCCTTCAATAATGAACTATTAATTGAGGACTTACCTTCAGATCTAGATGGACGACATTCCTATCGTGCATGTAGATGAGACCATCGATGAGCTGCTTGAGGAAACCAACAGCTTCACTCTCTGAGAAAGAATCTCTCTGGACGATACGTTCAAACAACTCTCCTCCCGTCAAACTGGTAGATAGCAGCAAGTCAAGGAATAGAATCAGCAAATTATAAAGAACAAGCAGCTGCTTGAACGTGAATTATATCTTTGCCTAATTGATATATGACCAATACAGAAGAAAAAAAAACGAGTTCATGTAGTGGATACTCAATCAAATCTGACTGTAGTATGATAGAAGGATACCAGGAAAATGATAAGAGATTTCACTTTGACTATGCTAAAACACCAATTCTATGATTTCCTTCTGATGAAGTTTGGATATCAATTGAATTTTTTCAAAAGCATGATCACACTAATGGCTATATGTTTTGATCATAAGCACTCACATGCAAAAACAAAATGTTCAAACAAAGTAAAATTATTGTTACAGTCGACTTCATAAAAGTCATTCCCAAGACAATTATATGCAATGATGTATTACTCCCCACAGCTCAAATCCATTGCTTATATATTTCTAGCTGATTTCGTTAAAACGATAAACGTATTAAGTCACTGTTCTCATGCAGAATTAGATCAAATTTGCCCTTTTAGGAGGCAGATGCCGGGTTTCCTAGAAGATATGGTTTCCTGATTCATGATAAAGACAGCATATAACTTCCTAACCACAAACACATAGCTTCCTTGATATCCTTGACCCCCAGAAGGACATAGAGTACCGAAGCTGTGACATCATAGAAATCCATTTTGAAAATTTCTCAATTTGAACTTCATTTTCCACAAGAGCATAAAAAATATTGTCCATATGTCATAAGTATTGGCTGAGATATGACCATACAAATAAAAGCATTTCAATAGGAAATCACTGTTATTTTGCTCAAGTTCATAACATTACAAACCAGAGCAAAACAACGGTGATTTCCTATTGAAATCTATTTATTTGTATGGTCATGTCTCCGCCAATACTTAACATATTCAATTGTTTTTCACCATTTGGACATTGTTTTTGATGCTTTTTTCTGAAAATGAAGTTCAAATTTGGAAACTCTAATTATAGTTTCTTGATGACGTCACACTTGACCACTCTATTAAACCTTTGATACATTATGTGAGTTATTGCCCTTCTAACTCTAAGCAAACAAAGACAACACCAATAAAGTGTAACCTTCCAACTCCTATATCTACATTTGCTCCTACAGTTGAGCACTGTCAGAAATTGCAGTTTCACTAAACTTGCTTATATATATATATATAGATATATATATAGTTGTATGTCATTAAAATGAGCCTGTCTTTTGAACACACATATGAGACTGTAATCAACATATTCCAAACTGAAGTTCCAAGAAGTTCAACGTAAGCATAGTCACCTTCAGTGTTTAATGGGCCAAATACCTTTAATATTCTCTATAGAAAAAATGTAGTACTGTTTGCTCTAGATATACAGGACCTTTTATTATTCAGACATAAATCTGAAGTAGTTTCCTGTTATGTGCAGATTTTTTTACTTGTGAATGTCATAATTGACCTTTGTTCAGTATTAAAAGCATGAGCGCTTTAGCCATTCCCACAAAGCAATGTCAACTTTACATTTAGACCTATAATAATATGCAACAATGCAACATCAAAATGATCAGAAAAGAATTTATTAGAAGATGAAAAAATGGCAGAGAAAGAAAACTTAATGCAAACTATCATTTTGCAAAATGGGAATTACTATTTATCTTAATGTGAATACTAGCTGTAAACTGCAGTGTGGACTATAGTTTATACACAAAGAGAAGTTATCATACTACATATTACTGATCTCAAGCCTGTCTAAAAGAATATGCTCAGACAAACATACATACATACATATTCCTAGCGTAGTTGATACCAAGAATGTAATCACAGTCCTAACAATATTCCAATGCTTGTAGACTCCTTACAGTGAATAAATATCCACTGACATTAAATCAGATATGACGTATATCCTCTACATATACTATAAAACAGTGTAAACTCACACATGTGCCTATCAAATTCAAATGAAATGCATGTACATCTAACCACTACATGTAGGGTATATATACACATATAGGTTTCTCATTACCTATTAATCATTTGCCGTTAAAAAAAAGGAAAATCTGTGTCACGCGGAAAGGTGGAGTGCTGAAACAACAACAGGAAACTAGCCAGAGTAGTTGAACAAAGAATTCTAGTGACAATTGGAGTAACATCTGACATTCTGCTGGTAATGTGATGCTGCTGACATATTGAATGATATTACTGATTGAATTTATTTTGCACAATGATACAGAACCATAGGTCAAGGAAAACAAAAGCAAAACCAAGACAAGAGAGAGAGATAGAAAGGAAGAGGAAAATAGAGATAGAGGGAAAGAGAGGGTGACAGAGAGAGAGAGAGAGAGAGAGAGAGAGCATGGACCTTTCTGTTAATTAAGCCATGGTGAGAGACAGAGAGAATGACTGCAGAGAGAGAGAGAGAGAGAGAGAGAGAGAGAGATAGGACTACGGAATAGTAATTATAAGAGATAGTCAATAATCCAACAGGCTGACATTCAAATTAACAGACTTAATATCATTTGCCAACATGATATCCTTCATCAAAGTGGCAAAGCAAAGTGGACATACACATAACACAATGCAATCCACTCATCTACCGGTAAATCAAATACCAAAGTATTTTACATCAGTAAATAAAATCAGAATGCAAATAAATAATCATAAGCAGACAATCTCTGTGACATATATAAGTACAATTCACTAAATGATTTATCTCAGCAAACATATATTCTGAAATCTATAGGGTATAATTGTGCCCACTTACCATGAATGTCGTCCTTATACTTCCCTGAATGGAGCTGGAATGAGCGTATTAATGATTGACTTAGTTTAAACAACCTAAACTGCTCAATTACAATTCGGTTGCTGTGAACCACAACTGATAACATTTGTTTAACAAGGTCATTTGATAGGTATACCACTAGCTATATGATCGATAGTTTGCCCTTGGTGTCAGTCAACAAAGTTAATGAAATTTGATTGTTTAGCTGAGAATAGTTCGATTTAAGCAGCTACTGGGTGGACTTTTCAGTAAAATACCTACCCTAATATTTAATGAATTTAGTTTTTTTTAATTATTCTTTTCTGGGGGCAAAGGTTAGGTTCTGCAAAACTGTTAGTACTCACAGACTACTAATATGCCCTTTTAGCTTCATTTTCTCTTATATAGACAGTAATGAAAATCACTAAAAGCCTATATCCTCTAATAGAATCCTTGTCTGTATTTGTTTATGACTGCATATTCTCAGAAGTATTCTCAGTCTGTATATATATGTAGGCACAAGAAATTCACAGGGAATAGGTTCGCCTTGACCCAATTTACAAAACATGAACAAAGACTATCTAGGAGTCAGACTGAAAGATAGCTATGTCCTCATGTCCTCACAGGACAATCATAGTTTTTAAATTTAAGTTTATGAAACCTTGAAGTTATAAACAATGCTCTACTAAGCTAACTATGACAAGGATTCACACAGGGCCAAAAAATAAGTATTCAATTTTTTTTCAAACTACAAGTTGGTCAAGTATTCATTTTAACTACAAGCTTGTGTAATCTCAAAATTTAATTGCATCCGCATGGCACATAACTTTGAATACTTACTGGGCATCATCGCAATTGGGATAAAAAAAAAAACGCAACTCCCATTTGCACATAGTGACCTGTGTTACAAGCACATGGTGTCAGGCCGACTTACCCGGATGTTCCTTAATTTTCTATGCTAATTTCTCAGCCCATATACATTTTTTTAACCAAAATTGTTTAGCATATGTCATTTATTTGTAATCTTGAATATTCAGTGTAAAATTTGTTGTATTCTGTGAGAATTTAATTTCTACATTTAGCAGAAAGTTTTTTCTCTAAGATATGTTGTGGTTTGCAACTTCGAGTTAAGAACTCACAGTTTCATAACTACGAGTGCATCTACAAAGTCCTAAATGCAAGATTACTTCAAAGTTTAAAATGACTTAAACTTCAGTTTAAGGAATATGTCATGGGAACCCCACCATTATTTAAACTAACTAATGTTAGCTAGTTAATGCCCTTAGACAATATCATGATTATCACAAAACATAACAGATTAAGATTATAGCAACTAGAAACACAGGAACACAGCTGATTGCAATGTTAGCTGTTACTAGATAACAGACAATGATAAAATAAACAGCTCCTTCAAAGAAGGTCAGTAGATTTATTCGTTCTAAGTTGAATTGAGCTGCCTAAATTAAAGCCCATCTAAAGATATTCAAATGAGTGTAGAGTGTACAAGTAATGAGAATGACTGTATTATAAAAGTAAATAACATATCATCTGTTAGAAGAGTAAATGGCATCAACATTATCTAAGTATAATAATGCCATTCTGGATCTCAACAGAACATTGATCAAATCAAATCAAATCAAATCAAATCAAATCAAATCACTGATATATGATGGAAGTATTAAAGATTACAATTATGCATGAAGACCATTGTAGCTATATTCTAGGGCAATTTAATGTTATTGATGAAGTGTGAAATATATGTAATATAAATGCAAATACTTAATTATCTGCTTATGAAAAGAAAAGATAACTCACCTAGCACCTAGCAGAGCCTTGATTTCAATAGAGAATGAGGAATACAAATATCATCTTGGTTTTATCCCTTCTACTGGCTTTTACATGAAATCAAAAGAATGATTCTCTCCAATAAGTCATGAAGATTATACCAAGGTAATCCTGTATTTGGATGTTATCTACTACTCTATGTTATACATTCTAATGTTGAATTATTCAGTAGCACTCATGCACAAGCAAAGTGAGTTCAGAGCCTTGCTAAGCTTTGCACAAGTGATTGTAAAGCTGATTCCTTTCATACATGCTGACAGTGTAAACACACACTTTCATAACCTGCCACTTCTCGCTATCCTTTGTTGATTATTGTGCTTACTAATACAAATACTGTAATAACTGAGTCTGCCACTTTTCCCTCTCTCTCTCTCTCTCTCTCTCTCTCTCTCTCTCTCTCTCCCTTTCTCTCTTTCTCTCTATCTGTCTAAAATCTCTCTATCTCTCTCTCTCTATCTCTTGATCTCCTTTTACAGTTATGTCTAGCACTCTAATTCCTACTTAAACCCTTCTTTTGTTGACTGACACTGACATGACACATATCTTAGTTGGCTGCATTAATCATATCTTCTTAACCCTTTCAGTGCTGCTAATGGGTTTCAATAGCCAAAATTCTAAATGGTATTTATCAGTTTCGGCTTTTCGATTTAAAGTTTGTATCCGTGCTTGAAATTGGTTTATGAATTGTAAAGTTTGAAATTCATAGAACACTGTCATCATCATGAGAATGTACAATGCAAAAATCATTTTAAACTTATGTAATGAAATCTTTGCTATGATACATGTTTAATTTTGTTTTAATTAGATCACATTGCCTCAATATTGCAATTTACATGTATAAGGGAAATAGGGTGAATTATAATGTAATTGAAATCTTTCAAATCAACTAAAACACAAATTCAATACCTACTACATTGCAATTAAAAATTATGTCTAGATTATGTTATATGTCATTGCAATGTTTGCACATTTCAACAGTTGATGCACAAACTTAATGAAATCATTAAAGATAAAGACATAAAACTAATGAAAGGATACATCTCCATCGCCATGACAACTTCTCTCTTGGTCTCATAGGCATCAAAGAGCTTGATGAGTCTCTTATGATCTAAGATACCCATCACAGCTATCTCATTCCGGACCTCTTCCCACATGCCTGCCTTGACACGGATCGTCTTGACGGCACACTCGCTACCGTCTGCTTTAGAGATACCTTTGTGAACAACTCCATAGGCTCCTCTGAAATAAGACAAAGTTAAGATTAAACAAAATTATTATCCTTTTGGCAAGAGAAATATGAAGTGCCTTTCCACAAGAATGTCAAATGCCATATATTCTAAACTGAATGACAAGCACCACTAAAATAAATCTTACTTATAAAGACTAGCTTGAGAAATATATACCTTTAAAACATTTGTTCCTATTCTATCTTAATCTTATAATGTATAATTTTATGATTGCACCATACTCTTACTATATAACTACTAGTCAACATCTGTTCATAACTTGGAGGATTGTGGAGTAAGAGTCATTTTCAGGGTAATATGTGTAAAGCACCATGAGCGTCAGAACCTGGCTGATACCGGCGCTATATAAATAACCATATTATTATATATCAATTGAGCCAACCTGTTGCTAGAAAGCAAAAAATGTGAAATAAAATCCTTCTTGATGGCGATCACAGAAATCTGATGAAATACTTTCTTTCCATATTTACCTTCCAAGCTCAGTGAGGAGTTCATATTCATCTTCAACGTGTATGTCTTTCTTGATAAAGACTCTCCTATATCCATCAGGTCCAGCTAATTATCATCATGGAATAGAACAAAGATGAGACAGACAGGATGATCAGAACTAAGAGGTGATAAGGAGGGTCACCTTTATATATTTTGTATTAAATGTGATGTAATTTTGTCATGTGTGCAAAGGTATGTCTTTCCTTTTGAAAAAAAAATCAGAGATCAGATAATGATGAAGATAAACAATAATTAACAAGAATAAATCAACTAAATCTGTCATCGATATTGATCACAGCATTACTCTGTTATTGTTTCCTTTGAAACTAGCTTCCAGTAATAGGAGAGTCTATAATCCATTTTAAATATTAGATTCCAACATACATCAAACACTGGAGTTTTCAAACTTAGAAATCTTAAAAACATTGGTATTAATGGGAAAAACGTTAGTATTAATGGGAAAAACTTTAATAGTTCTATATATTCTATTTTTCGGATCTATCAAGGGACAGGAACATACATGTGACATAGATTTCAGCTGAATGCGAGACACTGCCAGCTATGTTTGATGCTTCCAGCGTATAGACTCCGCAATCCTCTTTGTCAAAGTTGTTGATCTCCAGCGCGAAGCCCTCTTCTCCTTCATAGAAGAACTGATACCTCTCAAAGTCTTCGATGACTTTGCCATCCTTAGACCAGATGACCTCTGGCTCTGGTATACCGTCTATACTGCATTCCAGCCGAATGGACTGACCGATCGTTCCCTCCGTGTCTTTATAGGTCTCAACAAAATGAGGGGGCTCTGTCATGGCGAAAATATAACAAAGATATTAACATTTATATACCGTTTATGAACATTGCTATTTTTATACTTATGAAATTTGTTAGATAAAGAAATAAAGAGTAAGGAAGAGACTCAAAACAATTGATCAAGTCTAGGATAGCCCTACTTGGGATTAATAGGCTTATTGTTTTCATTGGAAGACAATTGCTCAAAATATTCAGAAGATCAAACATATTTATTCAGAATTCATGCAAAATCTCCACAATGTACTAAGAAAATGTGATCACATTTTGGAAATCATTGCCATTACTCATTAAGTCCATGAGAATCTGTATCGTACATCACATGAGCTTTTCCAATTGTCATAATCACTAAAGTGATAGTAGTCTTAAACCATTCGGCAAGGCTTTGACAAAAAAAAGACTTCCTGACTAAACATCAGCACATGATGATGCTTACAATGTCTAGGGCCTTGACAAGTTCTTAAAAAGAAATCCCTATTCATACAGACAAGAGACAGATTAAGTTGGGATCATAGATCAATTTAAACGTACTATTCAGCCCTGATTTATTAAAAGGGCAAATATAAAAGGAGATTAAAATAGAGAGGAAGAAACATGACAAGGACAGACCACCAGTTTTAGTGGTATTGCTTGAGTGGAAACTGAAGGACAAGATTATTCAGAAGTGGTATAGCTGATCTAATTTTAATTCAACTTACATTTTACAGTCCCTGCAGATTTTAGAATGTTGTTATATCACAGGTAACCATGTCATGGAGACTTTTATTACATAAATACATGTACTATAAGTTTAAACTTCAGACAAGATGTTGCACAATTTCATCTTTAAAAAAAATGAAAAATATCATTATTTTGACACTGTTAAATTTGTTTACATATTAAAGATTTGGAAGGGTATAGATTTTGTTTCCCTTCCTTCCAAAGTACAAGAAGTTGGGTAGGGAAATAAACATAAACTAGAAGCATGCTTATGTATTTGAGATTATCTTAAACATGCTCTAGTGACAATTACTCTATGCTTTATTTCATCAAAGATAGAATGTGATGGATAGGGTTGTGATTGTGCCATATATTAGGTTTAGGATTAGGCTTAGCAAAAGTGCTAGCTTCAGGGTTGCAGTTAGGAATGTGGTTCATAGTAGATCTATGGTTAGTGTAAGAGACTAGAAATGGAACAATATTGCTGGGAATAGCCACTGAAATCTTCCAGGAGCCAAAGGGTTGACACCAGTACACATCTCACCTGCGACATCAAGATAGAGTCTACAACTAGCCTCTCCGTGTTCATTGGTAGCTATACACCTGTACTCCCCTATCTCACTACTAGTGACCTTTACGATGTCTAGCGAGCAGACTCCATTAGCTTGAGAGGAGACCTTGAGGTTGTCTGAGTTCTTGAGGATCTCTTCCTCCCGCATCCAGACCACCTTGGGTTTTGGGTCACCAGACAGGGTACAGGAGAGGGTCGCTTTGCCATCCTTCACAGCGAAGACCTCCTCAGTGGTCTTCACAAACAGGGGCTGGTTTCCTGCAGATAAGAATGGGGAGATTTCTTTCTTAAAACCATGAATTCAGATCTTAGAATGAGGTCATCTATTTATATAGCAAACAATCATTTCTTCTTTCTAAACATCATCGGCCTACCTAAAGACTAGATTTAACACTATTTTTCATTTAGTTTACTTGTAAAATATTAATGGAATATACACGTATATCTTTTTCATTACATACCAGAACAAATTTATAGAGAGTCTTTATGCCCAAAACATGAATATTTCTTGCACTATTCATTAGGTTATGAAAATGAAATAAAGTTTTAAAAAATATGATAGGAAAATGGCACTATTAATACTGGCCTTCTTTTTTATTTGAGACAATAGCACATAATGCTTAGAACACTAGTATTCAGCCTAGCAATGAGAAGCATTGGCTAAAGTGCCATTTCAATTTAGTCACTCATCTGTTGCATAGAACCATGTATCTTATGAACAGAAATTGATTTACAACATTTATATATGTACAAAATTTATACCTAGTCCTGAGTAAAAGTGTTCAAAAAAATTACCAGCTACAGTACAGTATTGAGTGCTGTAATATTTAGGACATCACTAATGAAGTTTATTCTCCTAAAAGCATGCTGCCCTCTCAAGTTTAAAAACAGATAATGACCTTTATTTCACTCTGGACCTATAAATGGAGGGATATTCTCAAATTGTAATTTGATCAAATCAGCTAAAACAGGCGGACTAGGATTATTATTACCATACTCTTATCTAAAAATATTAACTGATTTAATGGACATGATTAAATTCATTGTCCTAAGATAATATGTGATAAAATCCATCACATCTGATTCCTCTATAAAAGTTTTTAAAACCTGACAAATATTTAAGAAACCAATCCTATGCACAGCATGTAACACAGCAAACAAGAACCTATTTACTGAAGGAGTATGATTTTCAATATCCTTCTACATTATGGTCTTAGATATGTGTAATAAGCTATTTGGTATTTTGAAACATTGCCTTGAAAAGTCTTCTACTTTCCAAAATATCAACAACAACAAAAAATACAAGAAAACTTTACTATCACTTGAGATATAAAATTAAAAGGCACTACCATATTCAGTACAACATCTCTACTTATTTAGCCCGTTTCAGCTATTTGTTTTACACTAGTGGGTTTTTCTTACAACTCTATGAAAAGATAAACATACAAATATATCACCAAACCCTATCCTTAAAAAATGAATTAATATTCAGGACTATGATGTGCCACTCAGAGATATCAGATGTATTTTCCATTTACCTATTAATTTACTGAACAGATGGAATTTCATAAGTTATGGGTATGAATCTAAGGGGCGTCAGGTCACGGTAGGAAAAAAGTAGACACAACTTTGATGAAACACACAGAATAGATAAGGACTTAACAATAAACACATTTCAGACTTCAAACAAAATGGATGAGAAAGTATGGAGAGGTATTAAATCAAGAAAAGATGCAGTTGATAATCACAATTTTACAAGGTAGTCGGAAATTCACATCAATATGAAAGAAAGTTTATCAAACATTAGGAATGAATTCACTGAAGACTTAAACTGCCAACAAACATGCGTTTTCTAAGGATTGGGGATCGGATGTTTTAAGAGTCATTCTGATAATGGGTAAAAAGTCGGGCGAGGAATTGGATGCAGACAGTGGAAGGGTTAAAGAGATTCCCTTAAATGGCAAATCACAACAAATCACACCTTAGAAAAGTTTGATTTTGATTGTTTTGTTCTTAGCCCTCTCCAAGTATACAAATATGAATTTCAAATAAGATTTGGGATAATAATAATAAAGGTACTCCTTTTTTCTCTGTCCATCTTAATAACATTCTAAAATATTCAGTTTTACAATCTATTAAAACAAAAATAAACTTTCTTGCCCAGCTTATCAGATAAAACATTGAATTTCATGTGAAACAATCTGTACTGATAGTATTAAGTTTCCACTTAACTCTTTTAAATAATTCTACCATGAGCAGAGATTTATTTCAACAGAAGTATTTTAATATCATTCTCAACTAAAGTACAGAACAACCTACTGTACTTTTTTCTTATGATTCAGATTTCCTAATTTCAAGAGTAAAGGCAGTTGATGTGGCTACACAAAGGGAAAGTCATCAATAGGAAACCAGCATTAATAAGCGTAAAAGAGGACTGGAATATGCAAAAGGAATGGTCAAATAAGAAATGAAAGAAACAAGAGTGGGAAAATCACATCAGAAATTGCAAGGAATTGAACAGATGAATTTGATATTGAATCTTTAAGGCTCAATGCAGCTTGTGCGGAATGGCAGCAAAAATCTGATTGCAAGAGAAGAGTTATGGGTAACCTTTGTTTGCTGTGCTGTTGGACTGTGAAGGCGCATGTCTCGCCTTATTGCCTGAAAGATGGGAGGAGAGAAAGAGAGCAAGGTCGAAAGGAAATACCTTCAAAAACTCATGCAAGTAGATTAAGGTGTAGATCCATCTCCCCCTTTTTCTATTGAAAGAAAAGACATGCATTGGATACTGAGAAGGGGTTAAACCAGGAAAATGTACATATTTATGGATGACAGGTAGACCTAAGCTCGTACAAGACACGATAGTTTGTTGCAAAATACATATAAACATGAACAAAATAAGATGGTATTTCCATCACATCAATAAAAGAGAATAACTGGGAATGACTCTCTATGATAAACATGTAATGGAAAAGAGAAATTATTAATAAGAGACTTGTAAAAGACATAGAACATGCAGCAGTGCCAAGAACTGGCATACAAGAATGTCCATCGGGTGATGCAAACCTCTGGTAGCCCCTAGTCACTCCATGTCACACCCCTGCCACTCTCTCTCTCTCTCTCTTTTGTCCAGCCACACCCCTACTACACCCTCTTTGGTTAAGTTGCATCCTACCACTCCCGCCTTTTTTTTTGTCCTGATGTACCTAACACATCCCGTCCAGTTTCACCCTTATAATATCCTCTCTGGAACAGTTGCTCCCCTATCGTACCCTGTCTGGTTAAAATACATCTGTACTCACCACAGGCTGTGGTATGCAACCACACTATGTCTTGCCTAATTACACCCCTACCCTATCCCATTTGGTTTAGATGTACCTCTACTTAAGGAACTCATTCTTTGGTCTAGTAAACTAATCTTGTAAACACCCCTAGCATACCATGTTTGGTCCAGCCATACCACTACAATTCCCTGTTTGGTCAAGTTAAACCCCTACCATATCCTTCCTTTTCCAATCGCACCATCACACCCTATTTTGTCTACCAGTAGTCACACCCATCCCATACCCCTACCCTACTCTCCCTGCTCCAATCACACATCTCCTTTCTTACCCACATCCTTGAGCTTGATGAGATCCGACTCCTCTCCCGGTTCGCTGATCCCACTCTCGCTCTCAGCACGCACCCGAAACATGTAGGCACCTTTCTGGTCCATCTCCTCTACACAGAACTTGGTATCAAGGATATCGGTAGCGATGAGTGTCCACTGCTTGCTGTAGGTGTCTTTGGCTTCTAGGATGTAATTGAGCTGAGTGCGGGACTTCTTGACAGGTGCAGCACCCCACGTTAAGGTGATACCGGTCTGATGGATGTCAGAGATACGGGGCTTACTACCAATCCATCCACCATGAGCTAAGCACAAAAGAACAGTATTCACAGAGATCAATGACCACATGGTTTATAGGGTAGAGGACTCATCCCTTTGGAGGATAACCTCTACATAATGACACAGAAATCAAACAGTTTGTATATACTTTCTTAATGGAGGAACACATAAGGAAGAGATAAACCAGAAAAAAAGGTGATTTACGAATGTGAATCTGGTAAGACTATTCACCTTAAAATCTTTATAGAATAATCAACCAGGGCCAAGAACAAAAAGAACATTAGAACATCTACGGATGAATATCTTGTAAATCTTTGTATTGCACTTCATCTGACCCTACAATTAGAAAATGTGTACAGAAAGAAAACACAGGCTTTACAGACATCACAAACACAAGTATTTAATCTTATGAACTATTATCCAAATATGAAATTTCACCTAACACCAAACACTGATCAAAAGGACCATTAAACAGGATAACACAGTGGAGGGATATATTTACCCACATAAAGAAGAGCATAAGTAGAATTCAGTAATCTAAAATATGACTTTCTTGCAAAAGATAGGCAAAGAAAGTATAACTTCATTGAAGGATCACTCCAGAAATTATCAGTGATGGGGAACTAATGATAATGCTTCAAAACACAGATGGCAATCAGTTTGATTTATCCCTTGAACCTTTCTCTGGATGTCTTCTCAAGTACAACCCTATCTACTTGTGAGCAGAGTCACACACAATGTATAGCATGCAGCTGTTTCTAGCAAGAAGCCTTGGTATTAGCACTGGCCAAGACCAAGTATAAATAGCACCCTTTCCCTCCCTCCTTCTACCATGCTAGTACTAATAAACACACACACATCTGACCTATTTCTTGCTGGCCTCATACTACTTCAAGAATCTTGAAATGGCTTTGAAACATAATTGTTTGGGTCTGATATATAGTCATCATAATATATGATGCTTTTACTTAGATCTCAGCACATCATTTTGTTTTCTTTAATTCTGTATGTACAGGAAGGTCCTTGATAGATCTATGATGATAAGTTTTGAATGGTGATTATCTCCTAGATTATGTGAACTATAATGCACTTTATGTACTTTTGAATATTTTCTAGCCATTGTAATCATACAAATACTCTGATTTTAATATTTGATTTGTTTTTCATTTGCTAGCCAACTCAGTTTATGTACACAAATCATCTAGACTGATAAGCAGTACTAAAAGATGACCATTTGTTTTGCTCTAAGAAAGTCAATTGGAGTACATGTAAATGATAATCTACTCAAGATCACAGACATATCCACCATACTCACAAATATATCTAACTAAAGGGTTCCTACTCATTCTTATATTAGTTTCCCATCAATATTATTTACTTCCACTAATGCTCATGAGATAATACCCCCTCTTAAAATAAAATGTGACAAATTCATATACTGCTTGGAAATTGTAATTTCTGAACAAAGTTGAATAAAGATAGTAAAATCAGAACTTAGATACTATCGTGTAGGGCATAAATTGGAACTGGACAACAAAAAATTCTACAGACATAGCCTACCTAAGGGTACAATGTTTTATTGAAATGTGATATCTGTTATGGCACACAGGAACAAAGTAGAAATCTGCCAATTTCCCCTCAGGTATTGTTTTGATTTCATTCTAGATCATATTTTGATCTGCTATGTGTAATTCATTGACCTCATTCTGGCTCTATAGGAGGCGTAATTCAGCAAGGCAGGGTGTAGTTTAGAGATCACATGAATGTGTTGCATCCCTCTGTTATTGGAATCAGGAGAATGTCCATGTGCTGTTCTGTTCCGCAAGAATGGAACCATCACATCATTAGGTTTCTCATTCTTTTTTGTTACATTGGTTTCTTTAATTTCTCCCATCTCCTGTCTCTCCCTCTTCCTATTCCTCTCTCTCTCTCTCTCTCTCTCTCTCTCTCTCTCTTTCTCCCCCTCTGTCTGTCTGTCTGTCTGTCTGTCTGACTGTCTCTCTCTCTCTCTTTCTCTCTCTCTGTTTTTGCTGACTTTATTTTCTCAGTTTATATGCGTCTAAATTGTCATGTCATGACCCTCTTCCTATTTGCTTTCTTATTCACTTAAATTAAATGTCAATTTTCTATCAATATCAAGGCCTCTATCCTAATGCTTCCCTTCCCTTTTATCATTACCCCAATATAACCTCTTTGGTCGTTTGATACCAATAAATGGATTCACAAAACAAATACAAAAGGTTAATCTACCCTATTCTAATCATCAAGAATGTTAAAGCTACATCTAGACCAATTTCAAATCCATCTACTGAACATGATGAGTAGAAGCTTTCAAAGTTATCTCTTTTTCTCAATCTCTACATCTTAGTTAATCCATTGCTTCCTGGAATAGGGTGGTCTATGTATTAAGCCTAGGGAAATGAGAGAAATGCAGTAGTCAACAGGTTAAACTATGATTTCCCTTTACCAGGTTTATATATCTATGTCATTTCTCTTGATTTATTCTTCCCTGAGCTCATTCCAAAGCTTTACCGGTTAATGGTTGCTCCTACATATTCTACTGTCTATCTGTCTGTCTATCTGTCTCTCTCAGTATCTGTCTATCTATCTAACCCTGCTTTTCCCTCTGTTTCCCTCTTTTTTTCTTATCTAACTCCTCTCTCTCTCCTCTCTCTTCCCTCCTCATCCTCCCCTCTCTCTCCTCTCTCTTCCTACCCATGTATCAACCCTCTCTAATATCTTTCTATCTCATACACACTTCCTCTCCTCCCACAAATTATATGTTATCCTTATCCCCTTCTCTCACTTCTCTCTTCATCTCTCTCCATCTTTCTTTCTGCCTCATTCTCTCTTCCTTCATCTCTCTCCCTTGCTCTTCCCCATCAACACATCTTCATGTCAAATTGTTTATAGCTACACAGCAATACATTCATCACACACGCTCTGACAAGATCAACTTACAAGCACTGGTATTTTACGGGACCAGAAAGAATGTGACCCCATTCAAATCTTCATCCACTACAGACTCTATACAGACTCTATACATCCATTACAGACTACCCTGACCATACAGTCAAGAAACTATACCATACAAACTCTTACTGATATCCACTGTACTTCCAATATCTAGCATCTTGTCTGTTTGGAGCCAGAAGGGTGTTGATTTGCATTTACACAAAGATAATGACCTTCTGACTCCAAACAGACTATATAACTGTAGACCTGTACCTAATAATTCAAACTGTGCTTCCATCATTTATGTTAAACATAAATTTATCATTTTTTAATTAATAATACTATTATTTTTTAGAACACAGGCAGGTGTAACAAATGTTCATCCACAGACATACAATGAGAAGCAGAATTTCATTACTAAACATTAATTAATTAATGCATTCACTCAGGCACTTTTCACCAGCTTTAAATTCTTTAATTGTCAAAGGATACCATTAAAACCAAGCACAATTACCGTTATGTCTGTGATATCATCTAAATCATGTTTCATTTAAGCCTTCTCTTCTTGATCTACAACTGCCTAAATTTAACCTAAGGTAGTCTTATCGCACGTTTAAAAAAAACGCTAAGTTCATCCGATGTCCAAATCTAAAAGAGGAACTTTGCAGATGTTTTCTGATTTCAATCCCATTCAAAAAGTGTAGTCAACTAATGTGACAAGAGAACATTCCATGGATTCTTAGTTTCTGATTCACTTGGAGGAACTCCATAAATCTCTAAAAACCAGAAGTGGAAGTTGTTGCCTGACTTGTCACATTCCAGGCATTCAAACATTAGTCCAGTGATGAATCAATTTATTTTTGGTAGTCATGGACCTCTAAAATTGCACGGCATGGATTTGATTGTTTTTCATAAGATGTGCAGAGTTCTGAAATAGCTCCACACCACTATTCTCAGGTACACTATCCCAATTTCAGTAGTAAAACTTTTATGAGTTGATATTATGTGTTCATGTCTTTACGTGTGTAATAATCTGTTTTTCAACTTAATCACATATTTTGTTTTTGGTTATTTTAACAATCAAATACAGGTCAGAAACATTAATATTATTTTATATATCCCTGACAATATCACTATCAATATGTTAAAACTTAAATAGATTGCATGTCATTTCAATTGCATAATTTACTTTAATAGTTTGGCATAAAACTGGTGGGTTATATTATAATGTTCAGTCATTCACATATGTCATGGTAAACCACGACAGTATTTTCGTTTACTAAATTAATGCATTGGTCATTTGCACACTCACTTTTATGTGTGTTATTAGATATACAATGTTGAGGTACAGCATTCTTAAGTACACTTAAAATACTCCCATGATAAACAGCAGCATATGTGAACCAGCCTTTATTATGGTTAGACATTACAATGATAAAAGGAAAATGAGATTCTCTTAAAATACAGATGTCAGAGAGGACATAAAATAAAATGATGGAGCACATAAACAAAAGCCTTCACGATTTAATACTTGTGTATTCATATCCAGTCTACATAGTCATGACAAATAATACAACCATATGTCTAGTTCACTTAACGAGCACCATTTGTTCATAAAGATCTTAAGGTGATTATTCTTACCAGATTCAGATTCCTACATCACCTATTTTGGGGTTTTCTCTCTTCCTTATGTGTTCCTCCATTAAGAAAGTATACCTACAAAGCTGTTAACTTGATATACCTGGTCAACATTAGTGTAAATAAGTGCATCACAGTTGGAAAGTTTGTATCCACATTACTAGTACTTGTTTCTATCATGTATCAGGGGTAATCATAAATAACTGCATGTTTCAACGCTGGTGTCTGACAGAGTTCAATGGTCTACTCTTGTCATATTTGATGAATCACAGTACATGTATGAACATATTTCTGCTAAATAGAAGAATACAATTTGACATGACAGAGTTGCATAAAGAAAAATGAAGTAGAATGACAATTCCACAAAACAAATGGCCACAACTTTGCCCGTTATTCATTTGTAATTACTACAGTGTATTACCTTTTCAAAGAAACTTTGGATCTTAAAGAGCGCCTCAGAGTAAAAAAAAATATATGAATCTTGGTTTGAATATTCTTATAATAAATAATGGGACAGCATTTACATACAACTACCCAACCACCTAACAGATAGGCCAACATATGGACTATCGCCCTAGCCCTAATAGGACTAGAAAATTGGAATGGTCTGTGAAAATGGGGGAATTAATGCAGGTTTTTTAGGAGACACGTTGTAGAGTAATGTGGATACAAGCATGACAACGTATAGACTCTTCCTAACCACATTCCTACATGCTCACTGTGTAATCTGATTACAAGTATAGTAAGGGCTGGTAAAACTATTAAGAGGAGAGGAAGAGAGGCGGAGCTATAGGCAGGCGGTGTAGGGATAGGAAGGGGTGGAACAGTGGATCAACTATTAGACAGGGCATGAATGTGAAATGGAGCATAGCTGATAAAGAATGTCATTTAAATAGACCCCTGCCTTCTAAGAAAAATTTATCAGTCTAGAGAAGAGACCAAGAAGAAACAGCAAATAAATAGATAATAGTTGTCAAAAATGTATGTTACATATGTAAAACATCTCAATTATTGGGTTAAACAAATAGCACCTGCAGTGTGTTAAGTTACAAACTTTCCAATTGTGGTGCACTAAATTCACATTAATGCTCACCAGGTATATCAAGTCAACAGTTTTTTATCATGTATACTTTCTTAATGGAGGAACACATAAGGAAGAGAGAAAAACAGAAAAACGATGATGTAGAAATCTGAATCTGGTAAGACTAATCACGTTAAAATATTTATGAAAAAATGGTGCTCATTGATTGAACTTGGCATATGGTTTTATTATTTGTTATGACTTGTCAAATTACAACATATTATAATACACAGCCCTCAATGGATCTCACTTTTGAAATTTTGTGAGCGAGGAAAAAAATCAAGTTTATCGTCATCATAAACAATCTTTGCATCGAATAAGGTTTTGGCTAGACTTCTAAAGCTAGTGTTGGTTGATTGTTTGACTTAAGTTTTACTGTAAACTCTATTCAGGATACTTGCACCTGTCCAAGCTAGTTTGTGATGAGCGTATATAAATCTGGTGAAGTCGCAATTTCGAGCTTCGGGGATGATATCCCGAGTCTGAAAATAGTGGGTTATTTAGCAAACCCGAACTGATGAGGACAGGCCTTCTGTGAAGACTAGTCGTATCCTGACTTACTCATGTGATGTGTTGGTATAATTCAGAGGGACAGCGGGAGGCTGGGTTAAGTGCTACTACATTCAGTTAGATGACACACTAGTCTCATTCCAATGGCTTCATTACTCACTACTCTACACATCACTTCTTAAAGGCACTGCTTACATGCATCTCCTACCTCTCGGCACAATGCTTGAAGCCTATAATACCTAAATGTTTGTGCCTGTTAGAACTCCTGCTATATTTAACTATGAGGAAGTCCCCTCCTTCTTCTTGCTAAGGATACTACATATCTCAAAACTACTTTTTTTCAGAGGGGTCGATTCCAAAGGCTCCACAATCACCTAAAACTAGGTGTACAACAACAACAAAAAGTTTGAGTTTAAGCCCTCTTAAAATATATAATTAAGATATGCAATGACATGGATAATTGGATAATTATGTTGTTGTTTAGCAAATTGTTGAAATATCTATTTTAACCAATGTGCACAGAATGCACACACTGTGTTAAATTCAGTAAAACAAGGGGATTTTTTTTCATGCATACACTTACAGTGTTATCAAATTGTATATAGACATGCACACCTTGATACAAGTGTATACCAGTGTGTTGGCTCAGACAGTAGAGCCTCACAACCGGGAGGTCGTGGGTTTGAACCCCGGCCGCGTCATACCAAAAGACGTTAAAAGACAGGCGTTGCTGCTACCTTGTTTGGCGTTCAACGATAATGGATAGAGCAACTTCGATCTGGCGCATCAATTGGGCAAAAAGAATTTCCATTTTCGGTTTAAGTGAAGTCTTCTAGTGAAGATTCTGCAAGAATGCAATTGATTGCGACTAGTTCTAATGTCATATCTAATGAAGATAACCATTTCTATACCATCATTATTCAGTATCAATAAAAGTACATGAATGTATATTGCTCTTCTAAATTAGGAGAATTGTCTGCTTTAAAAAGATATTGTTGTGTTCACATTTAACAGAATTTTATCAACCAATTACCAAAGGGAACCTAATGGTCCATGTCTTAAGCCTATGGTAACTGGGAGTTCCCGTATTAAGTCTATGGGAATAAGAGAATTAAGTAGCCAGTGGGTTAACTTACTTGGTGAGATTCCAAACTGTTCAATGTATTTGCCTTCCTTTCCTTTATTCCCTCTATGTACCGATGTCCGAGCTTCGTTACCTGATAAAGAAACAAATATGGAAGAGGATAAGAAGTGCGTGTTACATACAGAGACGGAGCTTGCGGTAGATTAGCCTTACCCTTAACAGGTAATCCAATAAAGTCTACCACTAATATTACTACTGCATAACAGGATTGCAGAATATTGAAAGAAGAATTAAATGACGACAAACAGAGAAAAGAACACAAACACAACTATTTTCGAAAATCAACTCAAGACAATTTTTAAAATCCTGTCCATCACGTATTACGCAATGTGATCATTATTTAATGGAATACAGAATAGGGTATTTAGGTATAGTTGCGATCATGTCAAATAACATTGACAAGTTATAATTAACTTTTTTCCCCAAACCATGTCCTGAAGCTTAGAAAATATTACCGGTATATGCATTTCTAAATCAATCGATTTATATAGAAAACTTATGAATCACTAAGCTAAACATTTAAAACATGTCTTGCAATATTGATGCTCATGTAAACAATATACCTGCACATGAAGATGTTTTTCTTGATATTGTAAAGTTTTGAAGAAAAAAAAAGCAAGGTAGGATACCATACAAACATTTTAAAGGGTAAACATCACACTCATACAGAGTTACAATCATGAACATATGGAGTTAATCGATCCTACATTCAAGAGATGTATAGAAGACAGTAGAGGTCTATTGAAAGCTATTAAAGACAAGCTTCTAGAGATGTATAGGTCAACCATGGCTCAGTAGAACGATCATGTTTCTACAAGCCCAATGAGCCTTTGTAGAGCTCGGAAAGAAACGTGATCTCACGACTGCTTATTAACATAGCTACCAAGAGGCCGGGCTTGAGACGGAGGTTGGGCCTCTTTAGAGGTGGAACATAGCACACTGACATGATTAATAGGCTTTTTGCAGATCTTTCATTGATAACAAACACTTCAAATTGGCAGCTCTGCTGGATGGTAGGGTTATAAAAAGCATGTACTCTTTGTAAGATAAATTTTTTGATAGAACTTTCTGTCAATTGATACTCAACTATTGATTTATGGCTACATTTTAAAAAGGAAATTTTTTTTCTGTTGATAATTTCTAACCATCTCTGCACAACACATAAAATTTGCTATTTCGTGCACAGCAACATATCCAGTACCGGTTTATGTGAGTAATAAAGATATTTCCAAGAACATGGGCTTAGAAAAATATCTCTCCTTATTTGATAGACAATTTTTGTACATCTATGCATAATAAATTACCTAAATTTAGGACAGGTTTATAGTAAATTAAGCATTTCTAAAACAAAGACTAATGGCTAGCTCCCCTGAGATTGTTTTGTGACATTCTTATTTTTAAAATGTTTTTGTTTTTAAGAAGAGAGATAAGGGTAAATAGAAAATGTAAATAAAAATGAATTTTAAGTAAAACTGAAACTTAAAATGCAAACAATATGTAGAAATCGACCTAAATGTCTTAATATACATGTAGAATTATATTCCCAGGTAAGCTGCTATTAATAGTATTAAAAACTAGCCCTACAGAACCAGTGCATCCAATGCTACAAATGTGACAGAAAAGTTGCATGCAAATTTCCAATTAATTCTAGTTCAGCATGAATAAAAACTATTTAAAAAGGACTTAATATGTTCCCTCTGCATTCCTATCAACACCCCTCCCTCAATGAAAGTGGAGGGAGAGCCAAGCTCAGACTTGAAGACGATTGAAAAGCATTACTTTCTGCCAATATTGTAACCCTTACATAAATACAAGAACAAAAATCAAAGTGTATCCAATTGTCTTGAAAGAAGAGTTTCATATCAGGATAAGATACCAGAAAGGGGGAAAGGAGAGGAGAAGCAGAGGGTAGGGGGAGAGGAGGGAGAAGGGGGAAGAATATCTTTGATTTCACACTCACCTTATTCAAACATACTTCCAAATCAAATAATTGTACTAACACGTAGATAGAAGAGGTTGGAATAATATTATTATATACAGACACAAACCATCATATTAAGTCTTTTGGTCCTTCCTAACACCATTAATCCAATTTCCACAGCTCGCTTGGCTAGCCTGAGGGGACTAAATCCACCATTTCACAAATCCTGTTGGTGTGATGACGTAGCGAATCCCTGGATATCCAACACTCACACATGCCTTGACAAGTAATCCAAGCTTGGTCTTGCCTCCTCTATCTGCCCCCTGTCCACCATCTTCAAAGCCTTGCTCTTGCTTTGCTCTCTGGATGAGAGAGAGAGGAGGAGTAGGGAGGGATCGGGTTTGGTGACATTTGAGGTCCGACTGACTGCCAGGGATCGAGTAGGGCTGGCATACACACGTCACTCTGGAGAAGGAACAACAACTCTCACTCCTTCCCTCAACTAGCAAACTATAAGTCACAAGGAAATCAATCTTGGGTCGGTGTATTCACACTGGATTAAGTAATGGCCAAGCAAAATTAACCTTCATCTTGCATGTGTAAACATAGTTTCACATTGCTGTGTTCACACTTACTTGATTAAAAAATGGCAGAAAAAGATTAACTCTCAATCTTGTAAATCTGATGTGGGGGGGGGGGGGGGGGGGTCAGGTGTATGCAAATTGTCCTATAAAGCTTAAAATTCAATCTTGCAGCTTTGAAATCAATCTTGAATTGCTGTATTCACAACGGTAGATTAAGCAATGGCTAAGCAACCATCTTGCATAGGAGAAAGTACTTTTAAATTGCTGTACCCACAGACCAACGGCCAAACACGCTTATATCCTAATCTTGCTGCTGCCAATGTGTTGGTATTAACACATGATATAACAGTGGCAAGACAAGATTTAAATCCGGAATTGCTGTATTCACACATCCTGGCTCAAGCAATGTCCAAGCAAGCTTAACTTTCCATCTTGCCTCTGTATAATTAATTGAGGGGAAGTTATTTCACATTGAATTAAGTAATGACCAACTTTGCTTTGATATCACTTAATCTCTCTACAGTTAAATCCAACTTGAGCTGTTGTATTCACAATGGTTTATCAAACAAGCTGAACCATTAATCTCACAACTGTGAAAGCAGCCTTCTGGAGATATTCACACCAGATTGAGCAATGGTTCAGAAGCTTCGTCTTTAATCTTGCCACCGATGGACCAACTTCAAATTGTTCTTTTCACTCACGATAAGCAATGGTCAAGCATAAAACTTAATCTTGCCATTATCTAAAACAATCAGGAATCGCTCTGTTTACACTGGATTAAGCAATTTTACTCCAAAGTTTCATAAATCTGTGAGTGTGAACAAGCCTTCTAATTAAGCCTTGGGTCACCTGCCAGGACTCACCATGTTTCCATTACACACCCAGTGAATGAGACACCAACACGTGTGAATGGTTTTCCCATTTATCCAATTAGAGTCACCTGCTTTTCAAATCTCTACAAACTTCATTGAGAAAAGAAAAATCCCATATGCAGGCAGGCATTTGTATGAAGATGAATTTATGAATTGCATTCTTTTAAATTATTTTAAATCAACTTATTTGATTAACATACTATACTGGTGATTTTGTTGTTGTTGGTGCTTTATGGCTTGTTTTTATTGGGTATATAACTTTAATTGCTTGAGCCCTCAAGATTGCCATTAATAAGAGTTTTAATTATTGACGGCCCATGACACCGTTAAAATAATCTAACAAAAAGAAGAAAGTTCAAAATAATCTATAAGACTGGCAGCCCACGAGACCAAAAAAGCAAAGGTATAATAAGGGAAGAAAGAAAATGTTAGTCTCTCGGTCTGTCGATGTCATGTGTTGTTGGTCTCTTGAATCTTTTAAAAAGTAGCTGGAAGGCTGGTCATGAACTCTATAAAAGTTGTCAGGAGGCCCACAAGACCAAAATTGTCAGTCTAGTGGTATATTAGCCCATTGGGATGTAGCCTACATCTTTCATGTGTGAACTCGGCTGAACCTTGTTTTCATCGCACATTCAATCAACCAAATAATGAGTATGTTCTTCCGGAAAAGATGGGTCTGGTCCCTGAGTGAATTCCATTCTAAGGTTTACACTAAGCAAACAGACTTGCCCATCAAAAGTCTCAGTAAAATTTAGCTTTTAGTTCACAGTGTGTGTTTTTTTAGCTGAGGAATGACAGGCACATGAGTGAAAAATCTGCAAGTCTATGATGAAGAACGTGGGGAAGTTGAGCAGATGAGAGAGATGGATAGATGGAAGAAAATAGGGAGTGAGTGAAGATCATGGGTAGAGAGGAAGATGAGGGTGAGGGTCAGAGAGAGAGGGATATTTAAGAAGAGGAAGAAGAAGTGGAAGTAGAAGGAGAAGAAGAGGAAGGAGGAGGACGAGAAGGAGAAGAAAAAGAAGGAGAAGAAGAAGAAGATCGGAAGAGAGGAAGACAATTAGAAAGAAAAATGAGAAAGAGAGAGTGAGAATAAAGAAAGAGCGAAAGGTAGAGAGAAATAGAAAACATTAAGAGCTGATTTTCTAAATGTAAAGAAAATGACGAGAAAAGAGGAAGGTCAAATTCAAGGTTGATTAAGATTCATTTAAGGTATAGACATAAGGTTATTACATGGCTAAATTTAATTGATAATATCCTTTTTTTTAATGTAGGCTTACCATTCTATATCACAAAATATGACACATATACTTACATAAAATACATGACAAATGTCCAACTACACACCCAAAATTAGTCGAGCCACAGTCCAAAAAATATCACAGAAACACCTCTGAATGCATACAGGAAAAAACTCCATCTACTGCAGTTACTATGTCAACATAGCAGAAGTATCAACCTACTACCAGAACCATTGTGACATCTTTATCTGCATATTGTATTTGACTTCACAACAATTCTCGACTATTTTTCACAGTTGGGACCACTTCACATGGTATTAGCAATCTGTTTGTTTGGGGCAGTGCATACCACAAACATGAAAAGTAAACAGCAATTTGCAAGATAATGGCCATAAACAGGTACACAAGTATAGAGACTAGCATATGTCCATGTGTATAGTGAAACAGTAAATATCTTTTCTCATCTCTGCATCCTATTGGGTAACTTAATATTGAAATTGTCAATCTTATTTTTTTTTTTAATCAATTCCCAGATTCTAGATTAAACAGAAGAAAAGTCAGGTGTTAATCAGACCACTGTAAAACAGAATGATGACACTGATAACCAACTTGGTGATTAAATAAATTGTAATGAGTATCTAGTTTTAAAAACTTTACCTTTTTTTAAAAACTGCAGCCTTATACCCATTGTAATTTATATCAAATTTTCTTCCCCCTTTTCTTTTTTTTTTGGGGGGGGGTGGAGGAGTTCATAGGTGAATATCTAAAAGTAAAGATAAATCATTGGATGCCCATAAAGATATTATCAAGGTGCTAGTATCCTATGTGCCATTGATTAAGACTTCAGTCCTAAACTGGCATACATCACTGAATACAGAAAGGTTAATCTGTCTGATCAAGACCAGGCAGCTAGCTCCTGGGAACATTCACATCTGTGTTACGTACCGCAAGAAGTTTTGATGAATGGTTGAAAAACAAACCATCCCAGGCAGCAATATGCAGCAGACTAGAACCCATGTCATCCTAAATCATCAATCTTCTAAAAGGTATTTTGGTAATGTGGATTGGGGGGAGGTCTGCTTTATAAATGCCAGTTCAAAGTTCTTGTTAAAGGCATTGTTTAGCAATGTTCCAGTTTTGCAAATCTGAGATACATGGCCCTATGAGTTATCAGTGTCTCTGATATGGTGTAATATTGAAGCTCTAAAAAAATGCGCTTCAAATAATCATGAAGTGCTTCAATAATTTGTAAAAATCTTTGAGTGACTAGTTTTACCATCCAATAGACTGCAGTGTTATAAAAAACCTTTGGGAAAACGGTTTTTGAAATTTCGAATTCCAATCAAAAATATCTTAATTATCAAACATGCTGAATTTGCTTGTAAAAGTCATGGGATTCATTTCTGACCTAAAGGTTTATAATTATGATTGCAGCATGAGCAAAATCCAAGATTTGTTTAGAATCACAGGCAAAGTTACCTTATCCCTTAAGTCTTCAAGGATATTGATACAGACACGTACAATGTTCTGATAATGTCAAGTTTGGTTTTATGACACATCGTCTAGTGAAGGTTACATAACAGGTCAATATCTAACATTATATACCTCTCTTTAGTATGTTGAATAAATCTAGTCATCTGATTGGTCAATTGGAGTCGTGATTTTAGCCATGCCCACCTACAGGTAAATAGTTTTTGAGAAGATGCCCGCTTGTTCAGGGCATGGTTGATAATCACAAAAAATTAAACAAACTTACAATAAATAAATGTACTACATGACTTGCATCATAAAGAGCCAACAATTACGTAAATTTTGCCATAATGTACAAATTCGCACCTGAACAAGAAGAGACAAAAAGACAAGGAAAGATGTTTGGAAATGCAGAGGCCGACATGGTAACCAAAGGCTTGTAAATTGAAGACCTCTTCAGTTTGTCATCAAATTTTTTTTTTTAAAGCATGAAAACTTCAACAACGAAAATTATTCGGAAAGAAAGAAAGAAGTCAAAGGGAAATTATTCAAGATGATGGACAGGCAAGCTCGAGAGGAGGTAGTGAAGAAAAATCCAAGAGATGAAACCAAATACCTAAAAGAATGCCATGGCGTAGTGGCAAGATGGAAACCTCTTAAACAACAGAGGGCAGCATATAAGACAGTGATGGCTTGTTACTTGAATCACTGAAACAACTGTGAGAATAACATCTCATGTGATTGAAAAAATCTAATTAATTCCAACAAGAAAAAAAAGCAAATTACAACATTTGTGCTCTTTACAGAGTGTTGCACCTCTATGTAAAGATCATTTAGCAACCAGGACATAATTGAGTCTGATCCGTAAGGGCTACATGTAAATGTATATCCAATATGGTAAATAACTGCCTCACCTAAATGAGACGACCATACAGTTTCAAACCCAAGACCTCAAGATTTTCAGACTATGTTTTTTTCTACTATGCAGATGTAATGATACTATTGAACCATTATATGATTTATATTTTCAGTCTTTGACAGATAGGCCTTAAAGGTTGCACAAGAATTACATACCATAGCGTTTCAAATATTTTATGCATATGTTTAGTTTTCCATCTTTTCTCATTTATAATCCTTACATTTTGTAACATCAAGGTACATTTCATGGTTATATACAGAGCAACGCTCAAAATACACGGGGGCGGTGGGCGATTCGCCCCCGTGAGCTACGCAATCGCTTCCGTCAGAGTGCTCACGGGGGCGATAGCAAAATTAAAAATCGCCCCCGTGGAATTATAAAATAAAGACGATATTTTCTGTTATAACTTTCACACAATATTGAGTTTCAACTTTCAAACCTTAAACCAATGACATGGAACTATGGAGGTTATATTTTGATAGCGTGCAGGATTTGTCGCTCGAATTTGTCGGTGTCCAGAGGCTGCAATATTGTAAAGAAATAAACGTTTTTTTTCGCCGCAAGATGCGCTATATCTCCCATATCCACATCTCCATGGGGTACAAACAACGGAAGCTCGCAGTGTACTGCGGCCGTCAGCAGTGGTCATACTAGCTGCGCCAGTAGTATACTGTTGGCACGCTGCCGCCCCATGGAGAAGTTTTTCGTTGTGAAAATCGTGAATCCTCTGAAATCTGGAGATTCCAAAAGAGCAGCAAATAATGAACCTCAACCAGTGAATCAACCGAAAGCTAAAATTAGTACAAAGGAAACTTGTTGGCAAGGAGGCGAATGAATACGGGCTTGGACAAGAAATTTTGTACAGAGGGAGAAGATCTGACCATTAGCTGCATGTTATAACTTGTAAAGATGTAAGAGGGAAATATAATGCCGACTATTAATGATAATAATGAAATAACAAAGAATTTTGGAGTATCGTGGGTACCAAATCAAAGGAAATTTGTATTAAAAAAGAGCCCCCGTCAGTACTAAAAGAACCCCCGTGAGAAGGCTCACGGGGGCTCTTTTTTTTTTGGAAGAGCCCCCGTGGACAAAAAATTAATTTGAGCCCTGATACAGAGCAAGGATAATTTAAAGTATGGTACGTGAAAAACCTACCTTCAATGACTACCAGTTCAGCAATGCTGTGAGCTGTTCCAATGGTGCTCTTTGCTACACATGCATACTCTCCTGCATCAGACACTGTAGCATGTGGGATGATCAACATGCAGTTCCCGTTGTTTCCTCTGTCAATGATATAGTGGCCTTGGTTGGAGGCTTCGATCTCTTTGCCATCATGGTACCACTGAATCTCTGGCTCCGGTAACCCCGTCAGCTTGCAGTCAAACGTGACGCCTTTCCCCTCCCAGCATTTTGCATCTTCCACATGTATAAGGAACGAAGGGCGTGCAGAAGTATGCGGCCCTTTGTTGCTTTCCACCCCCTGGGTTTGCTCCTCGACAAAGAGTTCAGCACTGATCTGCTTCTCCCCAAGGGAATTAATGGCTTTGCAAGAGTACACCCCCTCGTCTTCGGGAAGGACCTCCACGATATGGAGTCGGTGACTGAAACTCTCATGGTAGAATTTGAAGTCACCGCTCTCATGGATAGGGCGATGATTGTAGAGCCATATGACCTTGGGGGTAGGTGTCCCTCGAACCTTACAGACCAGGTTTACATCCTGACCTTCACAGACTGACAGGTCCTTGAAGAAATCAATGAATTCTGGAGGCCGACCTGAGGACTTCTTCCTCTCTGGTTGGACGGTGAGCTTGGCGGAGCTGGTCTGCTTCTCTCCGTTTCCATTGTAGATCTCGCAGGAATACTCTCCAAGGTCGGTCAGCTGAGCAGAGAAGATGGTGAGGGTAGTGGTGAAGCCGTCCTCTACTATCCTAGGATCATGTGTGGAGTGAATTCTCTTGCTATTGTGGAACCATTTGACCTGTTGAAGATGACAACAAATTAAAGACATCAAAATTGTTATTTCTGTCACAAATATATTCACAAGTACATTAATACAGGCTTTCAAGGCCCACTGCACTACTTATAGCTACTTGCACCCTCTATATAACAAACAATGCCTAATCGGTGACCATCGATCTCCAATGATCCTCTTTTTGATGTTAATTGAGAGCTGATTTGATGAGATAACCACCTATCCAGTGACCTTGCAGGGTGGCCTAATCCCTCCTGTACACTAGTACAGATGGGCTTTAAAGCACATAGTCATACAGTATCAATTCCTTTTTAATTTTGAAGCCTAAGCAAGATAAAAGTATGTGGTTGGTGAAACATAAATCTTCTCTTTTATAGTTATAATAATAAATAATAATAATAATATTGAATATTTAGGAGCGCTAAAAACAATAAGTACCATAGCGCATTTATTTCATGAACACTAAGGCACCATCATGTCTATTGAAGATCATTATAGAACCCTTTAAGTCAAGACCAAATCCTGAATGAAGTCATGTCAAAGATCCTGAACAAGAAAATTAAGCATAGTAGTGTATCGTAATAATTGTGATGGTACTACCATGGTAGTAACATGGTATATGTACTGTGGGTATATGTACCGTGGCCACAGTAGCGTGGGCAAAATATCAACACAACAAAAATTTATATGAGAATTGAGGTATGAAGAGCAGCAATGGAGCAGGGGGAGCAAAACTAGACCCATGGTTCCCCTTTAAAAATTCTTAAGTTCACCAAAGAAAATCCATCCTCTATTTGATTTTGTGCCCCTTTCTAATTTTGAAACAATTTTTGGCACAAATTTGATAAACTTGCTTATGTTTTAGATCTTTTTAAATTGATGTACCCCCCCCCCCCCCTCTCCCCTCCCCCTCCCCTGGTAGCATCATTCTTGATCCACCCCTAGAGAAGAAGATAATATGAGCATACCGTTGGTTTGGGTTCTCCTGAGATGTGGCAAGCAAACCGGACCTCATTTCCTTCTTTGATCATCACATCTCTCACCTGGGAGAGGAACGATGCTGGTGAAGTGTTCACCTTAGGGGCGGGCTTCTTTTCTGCAGAAACATGAAGAAAAGAAAAGAAATAAAAGAGAAGAAATTAAGGCAAGTAGCTTTTTACCCTCTATTGCCACAGTTGACAATTGTCATCAGTGTATGTGGCAGTTGGTTAATAAAGAGATAAGCAAGCAGACTTACAATTGTGTTTGGTCTTATGATGCTGGTGATAAATTTAGCTTTAATAGGGCTGGATTCTTTTTCCATAGACATAAAAAAGGGAAAGCACCTTAAATTGTCACATTTAAAACAAAGTCTGAAGAAATAATGCTGATGATGGCAATGAAATTTATAAAAATGTACGATTTTAACAATGCTGATGATATATTCACAAAATACTACATTTAGTCTTTTTAGTACACACACACACGCATAAAAAGAGATGAGAGCATTTAAAACAATCAATTATACAACAATGTTTGAGTTTAGAAGGTTGGTGATGAGTTCACCTTTAAGCTAACTTCGTCTTAACCAAAGAAAGAGAAATACAGAAAAGCAATAATTTCATCAAATTTTAGATACAACTTAGTAAGAATCCATCATATCGTTGATACCAAAGGTTCTTTTATTGAATGTTTTCCAGTAGGAAAACTCTGGCATTAAGGATGTATCATAATTACAGTCATATCTAAATCAATGATCAATTTATGTATAACTCAACAAGGAAAGGTTTACAACACAACATTTGTAGTGATTCATGCAGGGAAGAACACATTTCAAAAGGTGGACTTGGGGCAAGGAAAGATCTTGGAAAGTTTAGCAAAAATATAGATGCACAGAAAACAATATTAAGGATCTAGATAAATGTTAAAATGTTTCAAGTAATCTTATTCAAATACTAGTCAATATCACTGCAAGTAAGATAAGTGAGACTATAAAATCGAATTAACCACAATTTACCCCACTTATCCTTAATACATTTTACTTATTATTTAGCAATGCTAGCTTTCAATGGCCATGTTTAAGAAAACTCTATCTATACATATCATCCATTTACAAAGATACCTACATGGATATTGAGACGATCATATAACATTTGTCTCTAAATTGATTTTAGACTGGAGATCAGTATGTGGCGTAAAACAATGCAAATCCATCTTGAGCTTAGAGTGAGATCCTATATGCCAGTCCATTATTTGTTGGCAGGTATTATCCCAGCGTGTAGGCATCCCGACCTTGCATTCCGACCCCGTCTTGGAGAGTGCGCCCGCTAGGTCGAGCAGCAAGACAAGAGGCTTAACGCTGCTACGCCTGGCCCAATACCAACCTATCAAGTAGTCAACTCATATCCTAGCTGTCATATCTATATCAACACTGCTCATGTAATCTATGATGAGCAATGAAACTTATTGTTGTATGCTGGCTAAGCAGTGCAAGTGGATGTATGGACACTAATAGTATTTGACAGCGATAGTTTATTTTTTTCAAATTTTCCTTTCTTTTACTCTACATATACACAAGGGATACCAGTTATTTTCTTATCTGTTCTTTGCAAAACCATTACATTTAAAGAAAAGTTGGACCAAAATTGTGTACATTAACACCATACTGCCTAGAACATAACAAGAAATGTACATGTTGCCATTTTGCCACTAGAATTACACTGAAGCAGTACGCAGTCAATCTGAATATGTAATTCTGTATAAAAGGAAAAGACATCTTTTGATTTGAATTTTGACATTTTAATTTCTTCATTACTCCATGCAGCCTATTTAGACTACATATTTGAAAATTTGCAATAAACATGCAGCTATGACTGCAAATATTGAGATTTATCTCACCAGTGACATTGTAAATTTTGAGATACACCTCTAAAACATGACATCAATATGCATCAGCTCACTAACAGCGGATATGAAATCAGTCTAAGTGAATAACACTAATTGCAAATTAACCTTTCATTTCATGCTCATTTTCAAAATCAAGTAAATGAAAATTTCTTTCAAAAGTTATCAAATATTTACCTTTCATTTTGCTTTCTTCCTTTTGTTTCCCTTCTCCTATAGGAACATCATCATCCATCTCCATGGAGTAAACTCCGCTGTCGCCATGACGAATCTTATGCCTCTCTGGTTTCTTTACTGGTGTAGGGACGGCTGGCTTACTGTTATTCTTTGCCCTGTCAATTAAAACAAGAAGAAATGTTCAGGTATTGGTGAAAAATCATTTCGAATCCAATTAATTTACACTTGTATAAAACAGAACAACCAATTTCAAATGCTGAGGGAGAAATAAACATACACTAACGTCTTTGTGCTTTTGTGCATATTTTTATGTACAAAAGATAAATGAGATGGACATAATGTTATCATGAGACAACAAAATGGAAGCATGAGAGAGAGAAAATAACAAGAAAAGAGAAAGAAATAAAGGAAGAATTACTAAGAAAGGAAACAACAGAGAAAAAGAAAGATGGAAAGGAGATAATGGGAAAGAGGAAAATATAGAGGAAATGAACAGACATACATGTACACAACACAAAGCAAGTTTAAAATGATAACACATGGACATTAATTAGAACAGTGTTTGTACAGAGCTAGATAGATGCTACTGTTAGCTCTGTGTTGCATGAAAGGAGTTAACAACCTTCTGGCTCCAAACAGAAGGAAAGAGGAATTCAAGAAAGAAAGACCTGAGTAAATGTGTGCAATATTGACCCCAACAGTATTATTAATACTGCTCAAAAGGTTGGGGAATGGTTTGGCACTCCAAGGAAAAAAATACTTAAAACATTTCAGGGGCTACTTTTCAAGCTTGCTTGCATGAAAATAACACTCTTTAATTTGTATTGCATTGAACTCTATGCAAATTTTGGGGGCTCTTTTATTACTTTTGGGGGCTCCTTTGGGCATTTCGGGGCTAATTCGCCCTGAGCCCCCGTTTTTTCTTCTTCACTGTGGCACTCTAAGTGTATGGCCTGGATGCCAGCATAGTTCATAATGCTGTCAGCAAGGCACATTGATGCATACTATAAATAGTCATGGATGGATGTGGCCAGTTCAACTTCAAGCCCTATCGTATCTATCACACTGCAAGCACATTATCTATGTTACGCAGATGTTGCAGGTTTATGACTGTCCGAGCTAACACATGCACAGATGTGCAGCTCGGGGATCTGTTATAGTATTGGACTACATAGCAAGACTGCATCATCAGGGGGTGGGCTGTTTCATGAGTGTTAAATTGATAATTGGAATTAATGGGCCTGTATACTAGATTATAACCTAAACTTATGGTTGGTCTTAAGTCAACTTTAACAAAGTAAAGTTGTAGACTGATGTCTAAATTTTGTATTGTGAACATGAAATTAACCAAAATTCAGGGATAAGTGAAGAGGTTGACCAAAGATTTCATTTTATCCAAACCTCACACTAACCTTCAAACCAGCAAAATTGTGTTCTTTGTTATTAAATTTATGGATGATCTGATCTTAATGCACAATATACTGTACAATTTTGTGTGTTCTGGCATTTACCCTTTGTGCTAAACTTCTTTAAAAAATAAGAGTAAATCTTTCGTATGAAAGGAAATTGTGTTGCATCATTTATAGTCTTAAAAGAATAGGCCTGCAATGACTTTCAGGCTTTAAGTACTTTGAAAATCCTGTCACTTGTCAGTCTATTAATCTGAATGTGACACTCATAAACACTTTGTTTGTTTGTTTATTGTTTGTTTTGTGTATAATGAAGCTTAGTGAAGACCATGTCACATATCGTCCCTATTTTCACGAAGTGATTGTCATGAGGAAAATCGCATACAATTTGCGTGATGATTTTCCTCACTACCGTCACTTCGTGAAAATAGGGACGATATTATCAAATTTTTTCTTCTATCAAATTTATTGTTTCATTTACTCTCTGTCCTCCATCAGTCAAAATATGAACCAAATAATTTTTCAACCCCCCCCCCCCCCACAAGCACACAATAGAGCATTCCTCTTCACTTCAAGTAGTCTACCCTTTAGTTAACCCTATTTAGAGGACCAGTCAAATCAACTTTATACTAATCTGATTTGATCTATGGAGGCTTGCACACTATTTAGGTCAATTGGCCTCTTCAACTCAAAATGTATACTGTAGACAAATGTAATATATTGACACAATTTACAACTAACAAAGACATTTCTACCACCTATCCTACTTTAATATTGTATATCAAGTAAACACAGCTGTTGTCTGCATCTTCCTGGAACCAAAAATGTATTTCAATCAATCTTCTATATGTGTACATGGGAATTTATAGACAAGCTAGATAATTTACAGTTTAATATACAGATCATTATTACAAGAACAAGTTTGGGGTGTTTTCATCCGTATGAGATGACATTCAGTAGATTTATGTTTAAAGAGATGAAACAAAAAGAGAAAGAGACAAAGACACAGACACAAACAGAGACACAGACAGAGACACAGACAGAGAAAGTGACAGAGAGAGAGAGAGAGAGAGATAGATAGAGTTCCAATGTAGGATAAATCGCATTGCTGTCACCATGTATATTTACATCTCTCTGAGATACTGGCTAGAGATTTGAAGAAGAGAATGTTGTACCAACTGATACTTGCAGAGATAAGTGCATTTATGTATCAGTCATGCTAACATGGGATACCCTGGGATACAACATATAAACAATTAGATGAAAATGATTATGTGAACTGATGCTTTGACATAAAAATAAATATACCATAATTGGAGGGTAAAATTCAAAACAACCTAGACTGAGCTGTAAAAAAGATTTGAAGAAGGTGATCACAGGGTCACTTGCTTTCCTCTTTAGGGAAATATTCTAAATAATAAACAGTGACAAGTCGTGATTAAAAATAAAATAAATAATTGAAAAAAGGAAAATATGACCTATACCTCAAAATAAATATAAATAGCTATACTTTTTGGTGTAATATCTTAGGAAAATTTAGTATGCTTAGATATACAAAATATAGATATGTAGGAGGTAAGCATATAGAGAGCCCACATCATTGGGGTAAAAACAATTTCCCCAAAATTCCCAGCAAGTGCAATGTTTAAAAAAAGAAATAAAAAAGTATGTTTACATATACACAAGATAAGCATAAGTAGGAGGTACACACAGTCATTTAATCATATTTTGGGGAAAAAAACTTTCAAAATTCAATGAAATGGTGAAATTGATGCTTGAAATAGATAAAGAGTAGATGACAACATGACAAACAGTCATCTGATAAATTTACATCTACACAAGATAAGGGTTCGTAAAATGGTTTTGAAAAGAGCGACTCCTAATTCCACATTTGCATCCCTCTTCAGAGACAACACTCTACACTTTACAATCTATAAAAGAAATAGTGATTAACTAATTAAAAGAAAAAAAACATAAACAGTTTTGAAAAATGACCTATGCCTTAAATCAACTACTAATAGCTATCCTTGTTAAACTTTTGGTATAACACCTGAAAGAAGACAAAATAGTAGCATGTTTACATCTACACAAGATAAACAGTTAAAAATTGAATAAATGAAAAGTAGTTAATGCTTGAAATAAATAAAGATCAGACAACATGAGTATATGACAAACATTCATCTTATAAGTTTACATCTACTATAGATAAGAGTTTGGAAGCTGAAACGAATTGTATTGGTAAGTATAATTGAATTCATAACGTTTATTGATATAAAAAAATCAATGTGTTATAATTTCACATAGTAATTCATTAGAACCAGTAAAAGAAGATACAAGAAGAATATGCAATAATTGAATGGGTATATCTTTTATCATAATACCAATATTGTCCCCTCAAGAATAGAGAAAGATTACATAACTGTTGAAAAGATCTAAATGAGTAAAAGTATTCTCTACACCTAGTAAGCAGTATATATTACGTTGAAATGTTATATCTTTCTCTTGTGTCTACGGGCTAAATGAATACAAAGATAGTATGTTTACATCTAAGTAAGATGAACATGCAGTATATTTCTCTTTTTTCTTAACAACATCTATTTGTCTTTGCAGGACAATTCTCTTTATTTCCTTAATCATAGAAACCCATGGACATGTTACTAGAACATGGAAAACTAAAAAACATAGAGTAATTGCATGATACACAGTCATCAAGTATGTTTACATCTAGACAAGATAATTATTTTCAAAATATAAACAGCGTTGTAATAAACTGATCACAGGCAGTGATAAATAAATACATACATTCATCATGGTAAATATAAGATGTAAACATTACCTAATAATAATAAACAAATGTCATCTTGTTTGTTTACATCTAAAACAAAAACAATAGATATACAGTGGATTGAGAGATAGTGCTGTACTAATAGATACTAGCATAGATACTGAATGTAAACTATAGTCAAGCAGAGAAGTATGTTTTACACTTATGCCTCTATATCATTGTTTCTTGTTCTCTCCTTTCAGTCTTGTCTCTCGATTTCACTCTTTCTTTCTCTCTCTCTCTCTCTCTCTCTCTCTCTCTCTATTTCTCTCTTTCATGTTATCATATCATTGTATTACTATGGTATATGTATGAAATTGTAAATCATTTTGTCTTTATGTCATTTCACCTTGTAAAATCCATGTAATTCAGCCCCTGGGCTGCCATGTGGAATTCTGTGAATAAATAGCAATGTTAGGCAAACTACATTCACCAGAATGACCCCTCCACAACATCTACCCCACCTAACTACCCCTTGAATGATAGCCACTACCCAATTACCTATCTAGAAACCAACATCCTACAATGCCCCTCAAGAAAAAGAAGCCCCTGAGAAAATTTCCCAAAACAAACTAATCTTAGAAAAAATGTCTATCTCCTCACAACTGCATAAATCTCAATATTTATATTGCCCTGAATGAGTCTGAGGATAGCTATCTGAATGGTTACTAATTTAAAGTTTCTAAAAATATGAATTAAAGTTTTAAACAAATTGAAGAATGTTGATGGATACTGTGTATGTAAATATGTAACATGCATGTCACTCAATTTGATAACTCGTAAGATATGATTCCGGATTGGGTTTTTTTTTGCAACAGGGTATATTTTCCTGGGAGTGTATTTTCGATGCACATGTCTAAGAATCCATGTTTAAAAAAATAAAAACAAACGTTACATGTTTTTTTTAAAGCAGTTTACAAAT